CAGTGGTGCGTAAGAAGCCATGATGACTTTGTCCCGGAGGTGCGCTGGGGAAAGAGGCCCGCCCCGCACAAGCCCACGTGCGCAGGAGCCGGGATCGGGGCCGCTGCCCCCTGCCACCTGCTCGCACGAGTGAGTCACCAGCACGTCAGCTGTGCGGGGGGGGGCGCCCCAGGCCCCCTCGGAGGAGGGCAAGCCAAGCTCCTGCGCTGCTAAACTCATCTCCTGCCGCGTCTCGAGGAGGAGGCTGTTGTTTTGATCGGGGTTTCGGCGTCTGGGATGCTTCGACTGCGGTGGCGAGGACGGAAAATGCTTCCCGGATGCGTTCCAACCTGGGCAACTGGGGAGCCTGGAGGCCACCCCGGCCACGCCTGCTCTCAAAGCACCTCTCACTCTGTGCCCCCCCAGAGCTTGGGGCTGCCCTCTGTTTTTGCCCTGGAAAGGAGAGCCCCCCCACCCCCACCCCCGGCCCCAGACACCTCCTTCTCCACCAGGCGCTTGCAAATGAGTTTGCCAGACCTTGGCGTCCTGAGGATGGGCTTGGATGGAGGGCCAGGAGACGGGGAGACATCTCCCCTCCCCTCCCCTTCCCAAGCACCCTGCCCCCCAGCCCAGCAGCCACTGCCCCCCAGCACGCTGAGGCCCGTGCCGTGCCTGCATTTCCACTCTCGCTCCTGGAAAAGAGCAATTTTCCGGCTGCAAATTCCAGTCGGCACAGACGGGAGCAGCTGCGAAATGCAGCAGGCGGAGGAGAGGAAAGATAGCGCCTGTGCATGGGGGAGGGGGTGCAGCAGGACGCCTGGGTTCTCCTGGCTGGACGAACAGCTGGCGGAGTCACCCAGAAGCGGGTTGTGAGGGGCAGGTGACCGGCCAGCCAGGAGGAGAGAGGGGGTGTGCGCAGCCCTTCCAGCACTGAAAAGTCTTTTGGCTCTGAGCAGCTTCCTCTCGCGAGCGCCGGCCCAGAGTCGGCGGTTCTCCTCTTCCCGTGCATGTGTGGATGCAGCTTCCCAGGGACCAAGCGAGGCCCCTGCCGCCTCCCCCAGCCCCCGTGCACACATGGTTTTGGTTTCGCTGGCCTGCGGCCCAGAAGGCCTGCCCGTGCCGGGGCAGGCAGCCGCTTGCCTCCGTGAGGCACCTGGCCAGCCGTGAGAGGGGCCTCGTCCCCGGGCAGCAGGTGCCCGGAAAGGCCCCTGGCCAAGGCCCACCGTGCCGGCAACACGGTGCAGCACCTGGGTGACCTGGCTGGGTCCCCGGACACCGCCTCCCCTCTCTGCCCCAGGAGGCATCCAAGGAGCATCTACGCGCCAGACGCCCGGCTTCCGTGGGCAGGAGGCCCCGCGTTCCCGGTAAAGACCTCCGGGGACCACTGGACACCTGTGCCGGTCAGTCCCAGAGCATCGCCAGAGGGCTGGTCCATCCCTGGCCCGGTCCTGCGGGGGAGCCTGCTTTTCATCACTGGCCGTGTGAATCGGCCGGGCCAGAACTTGGATCTCTGCAGTGGCGCCCCAGGACTGGTTCCGGCTCCAGGCCACAGGCGGTTGTATGTGCGCTGGCTTTTTGGGAGCGCGTCTGCCGGCTACTTGTCCCGTGGGAGTCCCCGCACGGCGAGCGCGTCCTTGAAGGGAAGGCGAGTTGCCCCGTCGCCTGGAGTGCGTTGGCACGTGTGGCCTGACGCACGCCTCTTTGCGCATGTTCCCCCGGGCTGTTTCTGGCCCGTGAGCCAAACCGGGACGCACGCCCAGGAATGTCTGGACGTCGACCGCAGGCTGTGCCTGAGGCCCGTTTTGGCCCGGGAGGTGTGAGCCGGGCCCATCTGGCCGAAGCAAAGTGAAGGGAATCCCTCAGCGGTCCCCCAGGCGGACCTGGGTTCGGGGTGCCTGCCGGGGAGCGGGAGGGGGAGGCCCTCCTTGATGGTGGGGGCCACCACGGGGGCCCGGCCCCCCCGCAGCCTGCCCCTTCACCAGCCGTGGGCCACGATCCTGAGCCCCCTCCTGCCCCAGCCTGTCTGGCAGGCACCTGCTTGGGGAGAGCCGGTGGGGCACTGGCAGGGGGTCCAGGGGGGCTGGGGCAGTCCTCCAGCTGGCCCCATCCCGATGCAGACAGAGCCTCCTTCAGGTATCCAGCTGGCAAAGGAGCTCCCCTCTCCGCGAGAGCTGGGCACGCAGAGCCAGCCGGTCCCGGGTCCCTTCAGGACCAGGTGCGGCTTCTCTGCCCCGGCTTAACTGCAGCTCGCTTGGGCCGTGGCAGGCCTTTTCCGGGGGTGGCCAGCGACGGGCATCTGCGGAGCCGTGCCTCCCCCTTCTGCAGGGGTGTCAGCTGGGTTCCGGGGCGTCGTGGCTGAAGCAAGCGCACGCACTGGGAGCCCTGGGCGGGCATGGGCGCCCGCAGGCCCCTCAGAACTCCTTGCGCCTCTGAGCCTGCGCGTGGCAGGTGCAAACAGGCCCTGCGGGGGGGGGGGGGCTGCTGGGAGCAGAGATAGCAGGGCCCCCCTTCTGCCTCAGACCTAGGCAGGGGAGAGAGCACAGGCCTTGGCTGGCCGGGCGAGCCCACCCTTCTCCAGGTGGTGTTGGAGCTCTGTCCTGGCCGGCTTCGGCCTGCCCGGGGCTGGGAGAGCCCCGTGCCCCCCTGGCAGTGCCCTGCGTGTGGGCTGCCGGCCACTTCCGTCGCCCCCCACCCCAGCTCTGCTGCTTTGTATGGTGCTCCCAGCCCTTTGATGCAACCGGATGGGGCAGAGCCCCCCAGGTGCCGCCTCGGCTGGGTGTGCGGCACATGGAGGACGGCTCTCCCCCGCCCCGCACCTCCTCGCTGATGGACCACTGAGGGTCAGTGCTGTCTAGTGGTTAGAGTCCTGGTCTGCGACTGGGGAGACTCCAGTTCCAGTCCCTGCATGGCCTGGGTGGCTTTGGCCCAGGCACGGGCGCTCCGCCTGACCTACCCAGCAGGACTGTTGTGAGGACAACCTGGAAAGGAGGAGAGCGTGGCAGGCTGGCTTCGGGTCCCTGTGAGGGGAGGACGGGAGCCCCAAAGGCGGACGTCACCTGTCATCTCTGCCTCTTGCCCCGCCTCACCCCCCCCTTTGGGACCAGGGAGCACGTGGGGTGCAGCTCCCCACAGCCGCCGGGCAGGGGAGAACCGATCCCGCGCAATCGCCCAGCAGTGGGTGGGGGGTGGCGCTGGGGGCCAGCCACTGCCGGGGATGGTTAGGACCCCCCCCGTGAAGCTCAGATCCAGAGGGGCTGGTGCGAGGGGGGGAGGCTGTGCCCCCCACCTCTGGCCCAGGGCGCCACGTCTGGGCAAGCCGTCATGCCCGGTGGGCGAGTGGCATGCGGGCGGCAGCCGGTGGCTTCCCCAGACCGGCTGCTGGCCTGAGCGAAGGACGGACCCGGCCGGCCTCCCCTGCCGCTCCGCCCTTGGCCCCGATCCGCACGCCAGCGCCCTCGCTGGCAAGGAGGGGCGGTGCGAGGCACTGAAGAGCCCTGGGCCAGTTTGCACGTGCTCTGGGGCTGCAGGGGACCTCCCCGGGACACCCCCTGGACAGGGGAGAGGAGGGCATGGATTTGGGGGGGCAGGGGGACCCTTCGGGGAGAGAAAGCCAAGAGGGGACACAGGAGGTGCAGCCCCTGCAGGCCACGCCAGCTCATCTGGGGAGATCGGAGGCAAGGCGGTCGTTCGGGTCCCTCGGCTTTCGCTCGGCAGGTGTCCCGGGACCTCCGGGAAGGACCGAGGGCCTGGCCCTGCGAGCCGCCCCCGCCCACCATTTCTGGAGAAGAGGCCACGGAGGGGCGATCCTCACGTGGCCCTTGGCTCAGAAGCCGCATGTCTCTTTCTCTGAGGTTGCTCTGTGCAGAGCCGTCCAAAGGCCTCCTCGCTTCTCGGGGTGCGAGCCGAGGCCACTGCTTGGCCAGCCCGTGGGCAGCAACTTGGCGTATCAGACAGGTGTGCTGGAAACGTAGATCGGTCCTGCACTCCAACTTCAGCCGATAGTCATGCTGGCAGGACTTGATGGGAGCTGAAGGTCCAGCACACCTGGCTGGGGAGCCTCCTGTTCAGTTGCTCTTTTGGAGCAGGGAAAAGGAAGCATTTAATGATGAAAAGTAAAGAAAGCGCGATTCCCACTCATGTATTTGTGCAATTCTACTACCCCACAGTGCCATCTAGAGGTTTTGTGGTGGAATAGCAAGAAAGGAAATGCAGATTTTCATTCGGTGGCAAAACCAGGAGAGGATATTAACAGCAGATCAACAGCCTTATGGAGAAAGATTCACTCTCAAGATTATTTAGATTGTCCAGTATCAGATTTTCTTCATCTTGAGGTTGGATTGAAGGGGGTGTTCAAGGATAGACTGGATGGGCAGGTCGTGAGTGAAGCCGGCTGGAGCCGGGGTCAGACTAGATGGCCCGGGAGGCCCCTTCTGCCTCGCTCTGTTTCTATGAGCAGAGCCAGCTGGAGCCGGGGTCAGACTAGATGGCCCGGGAGGCCCCTTCTGCCTCACTCTGCTTCTATGAGTAGAGCCGGCTGGAGCCGGGGTCAGGCTAGATGGCCCGGGAGACCCCTTCTGCCTCATTCTGTTTCTATGTTTCTATGAGCAGAGCCGGCTGGAGCTGGGGTCAGACTAGATGGCCCGGAGACCCCTTCTGACTCGCTCTGTTTCTATGTGTCCATGTTTCTAGCTCCTGACCTGGGGAAAATGGGGCAGACAGGCCAGAAGAGGGAAGGGAGCATCTGGGGCCAAGAGAAGGGGCGAATGCTCCATGCAGCTGCAGCACGAGGGCTCCCTTTGGTTTGGCCCCGGATGGAGAGGGGGCTGGATGGGACGGGTGGGTTGCATGGCCTGACCCAGCAGGACGGCGGCTCTGATGTCCCGGAGCAGGTGGAAGAGGAGTTGGGCCGAAGGGCCCTGGGAAAGGGCCCGCTGGGCAGGGATTTCACCGGCAGGTGTGTGTGAGCTGGGGGTGTGCAGAGTTCCAGGCAGCAGGAGCAGCCAGGCCGACTGAGCACAGCCATGAAAGTCAAGCGGCACCGAACGGGTGAACTAGAAGGGACCCTGGAGGTCATCCAGTCCAACCACAAGCTGCAAGCCGGGCAGCTCGCAAGGCCAATGGGTCTTCCCCGGCCCATTCGAGACCAGGCACCCCAGCGCCTCTTCCGCCAAGCCGCCATGTATGCTCGTACGTGTGTGTGTCCCCCCCCCCCCCCGCGCACCTGCCTGCCTCTCCCCTCCCCTGTTCTCTCCCCGGTGTTGCATTTTAGACTGGCCCTCTCCACCGGGTGCCCTCCAGTCTTGTGAAACTGCAGCTCCAGTGAGTCAGAGTCACTCCAGCCGTTTTTTGAGACTGTAAGCCCCTCGGGGCAGGGCTCTCCTTTTGCCTGAGGCCGGCTTGTGCTTCTTGCAACGGAGATGCCAGCGCAAGATGCAAGATGCGGCTGGGAAGGGCCGTGGCCTGCTTGGCGTGGCGTGGCCTTCCCAGGCGCAGAGGCCCCTCTCAGCTACGTGCCGAGGAGGAGAGCGCCTTCCTCGGGGGGGGGGGGGCGCCCCTCACGGAGGATCAGGGCCACCCCGTGTTTCGAGCCTGCGGCTCTCCCCTCGGGGGGCCACCGGCCCCCAGTGCAGCCACCCGTGAAGCCCCTGCGAGGCGGCCCCGGGGGCCTCCAGAGCAGGAGAGAAGCCAGCGCAGGAACGGGGGCAGCCGGAGAACAAACAAACGCAGCCGGCGCAGAAGGAGAAGGCGCCTCCGGCCGCCTCGTCTGTTTATCTTGAATCTTTCCTGCTCCCGAGTCCAGCAGCGCCTCACACAAACGCGGCAGTGTGTGCGGACCCGGGTGGGCGGATGTGCGAGAGGCGTGTGCGCACGCGCGAGGGAGCGAGCGAGCGAGCGCAACTGCTCGAGGGCGGTGGGCGCCGGGGTCCCTTCCGCCGCCCCCCTGCAGCGATGCACCGGGGGGGGGGCGAGGCGAGGAGGAGCGGCTCGGCCAGCGGGCGGTGCGGGTCTTCGGCGGACTCTGGGCTCGAGGCGATTGCGTGTGTGCTGGGGCACCCCGGCCCATTCTGCGGAGTGGGGCCCGAGCACCTGCCCCACGGTCCTACCTGAGGGCCCCCGCGCCTGGAAGCGGCGGGAAGGGGGCGGCCGGCGCGCGTGTGCGAGCAGCCGGGCCCCTGCGCGGCGCGGACGGGGCTGTGTTTCCTGCGTGCCGCTCCTGTCCCAGAAGAGCGCCCCCCGCCCCCGCCGGGGAGGGCGGTGGTGCCGGTGGTGCGTGCTTCGAAGTGTGCCACCTCCCGGGGCCGAACAAAGAGCCCTTTGACAGCGGCCAGGGAGGCCCCGTCCGCACCGCGAGAGAAAAGATCGGAATCCCGAGATTAGTGGCCGCACGTGAATGGGACCCCAGTCTGGCTCCTCGTCTGATCGCGCTCAGATTCCACCGAGCCGGGGCGGGGGCGGCGATCCTGCAGCGGCGCCCGGGCCCAGGGGCCCGTTCCTGGGGAGCCCCGTCCCGAGATGGGGCCACTCGTGGCTCTCCTCCGTGGAGCGGGGGGGGGGGGTCAGCGTGCGGGTCCTGCTTTTGCAGCGAGCTCAGACTTCGGCCTGGGAGGAGGTCGGCTCAGGAGGAACTTCCCGCGCATCGGTCGATTCGCTCTTCCTCCTCCTCTCTCTCTCCCCCCGCCCCGCTTTTTTTGGCTTTTTGCTCGGGAGCTGGCTTTTGGCTGACTCCTTGCGCGCTGAGCCGCTTCTTCGATTTCACTGCCAAGCTTTGATCTTAATCTGCTCCGATCCACTTCGCCGTATTAAAGCGAGAAAAACATCACGGCTACTGGCCCTCGCGTGCTCGTTTTATGGCGTGGAGTTTTCAAAATCCCTGGCTCGCCACCCCGGCCTTGGCGAGCGCCGCTTGGCCCGCGGCGGGCTCGCCACCCCCCGCACCTGGCGCGGCTCCGGCGCCGGTGCGCGGTAAAGGCACCGGGGTCCGGGTTGCTCGGCAGCGGCACGGGCTGCGGGTGGGGGGCCTGGGGGGTGCCGGCGAGGCTGCACAGAGGGCCGTGGCTGGGAGGACCCCGTGACCCCCTCGCAGGGAGCGCCTTCTCGCTGCAGAGAGCCGGCGAGGAGCGCGTCCGGGGAGGCGCCGGAGCGCGTCTCGGCTGGGCGAGGCGAGGCGAGGCGACGCGCCCTCCTCTGCCGGGGAGGGGGGCTGCGAGGGCCGGGGCTGCGGGGGGCTCCTGCCGGGCCGAAGCGCTCCGGGGGCCGGCAGGGACGCGGTGGGGGCGGGGGGCGCCGAGGCACGGGCACCCGCCATCCCTGCCCCTCGGCCTCTCTCCATCTCTCTCCCCCCCTTCCCCCGCAGCAGACCCCGTGGATGTGCTGAAGGTGCTGCAGCTGCACAAGCAGCCCCAGGGCGTGCGCAGGACGGCGGGCTTCTGCCCCAGGAGGCGCTCCGGAGCCGCCCCAGACGTGGCCTACCGGATATCCAGGCAGGCGCAGCTCAGCGCCCCCACCCGGCAGCTCTTCCCAGGTAGGGCGATTTGCGCGGAGCGCCCCCCCCCCCCGCCTGGCCCTTCGCGGCTGCCCCTCCGCTGGCCCCGCGGCTGCTCGGCGCCCCGGCAGCGTTTCGAGGCCCCTCGTGCCTGCGGATCAGCCCCTGTGGTGCCGTGCCAGGCTGTGCCAGGTCCCCGGGGAGTGGTGGAGGGGGCGAGATGCTTCCCTGCCTCTGCCCCCCATCCTCCACCCTGCCCTGCCAAGGCAGCCTAGCACCACAGTGGGAGCCCCGCCGGGACCCCCGGAGAAGCTCCTCCTGCGCCCCACTGCGGGCTGCTCTGGCCAGCCCGGAGGGGCAGGGGGTGGCCGAGGCCCCCCAACCCACCTTGGCCTCCCTGCCCACCCAGCAAGCCGGCGGCATGGAGGGGCTGGGAGCCGCTGGGGGGGTGGCGGTGGGGGGGAGGACAGAGGCTGGGCCCCGCCATCCCTGGGGTCAGCACCGCTTGCCCCGCCTGGTGCTGGGGGCTGCAGGAGGCGGCCTCTGCGTGGCGGGGAGCGACCCCATGCCGGCCTCGGCCCCTCCGGCCTGCTCCCCCCAGCGGTGGCTCTGGTGCTTCCCCAGCAGGCAAGTTCCCGGAGGACTTTTCCATCATGGCGCTGCTGAAGCCCAAGGCCGGCCTGCAGGCCTTCCTGCTCTCCATCTACAACAAGGACGGCCTCCAGCAGCTGGGCGTGGAGCTGGGCCGCTCCCCCGTCTTCCTCTACGCGGACCAGCGCGGCCGCCCCGCCCCAGAGGACTACCCCGTCTTCCGGGGCGTCAACCTGGCTGACGGCAAGTGAGTGCCCGAGCCCCCTGCCCCAGTCGCCCGGCCGTGTGGCGCTGTGGGCCAGGGGGCCGTCGTGGAGGTCCCACAGCCGCCTGCCCAAAGAGGGGCCGGACAGCCAGGCCGGTCCCCACTGCTTCCACCCCGGCCGAGGACGGGCCTTTTGCAGAGCAGAGGGCCCCCACCGTGCCTGAGGGGTGAAGGCTCCCCGAAACGATGCAGTGGGGACCGTGCCCCGTGGCCAGGAAAACGCATCCCCATTCAGCACAGAAACATAGAAGCAGAGCGAGGCAGAAGGGACCCCCTGGGCCATCTAGTCTGACCCCGGCTCCAGCCAGCTCTGCCCATAGAAACATGGAAACAGGGCAAGGCAGAAGGGGCCTCTGGCCATCTAGTCTGACCCCGGCTCCAGCCAGCTCTGCTCATAGAAACAGAGCGAGGCAGAAGGGGTCTCCCGGGCCATCTAGTCTGACCCGGGCTCCAGCCAGCTCTGCTCAGAGAAACAGAGAAACAGAGCAAGGCAGAAGGGGTCTCCCGGGCCATCTAGTCTGACCCCCGGCTCCAGCCAGCTCCGCTCACGACATGTCCACCATGTGCATGTCCTGCCTATCCTTGAACACCCGCACCGATGGGGCCTCAGCGACCTCTCGGGGAAGCCCATTCCACACCCTTGCCGTCCCAACTGTTAGGAAGTGCTCCCTTGCATCCAAGTTGAACCTGGGTTCCCTGCGCTTGGCTCCGTTGGAGCGCGTCCTGCATGACGAGGGCTCCAGCACAGCCCTGGGGAGCAGGGGCTGGGGGGGCTGGGGAGTGGCTAAATGGGGGCAGCTGCAGTCACCCCATGCGCCCCGCCACTGCTGCCCCACCTGAGCCTTCACGCATGCACGACTTTCCTCGCCCACCACCTGCCGGGACGCACTCACAAATTGCCCTGGGCAGCCATGCCGTTCCCTGCCCAGTTCGAAGGCAAGGTGGGGACGGGGGGAGCGGTGGAGGGGTGGGGGGCAGATCCTGCCACCTGTGCAAAGGTGGGGCACAGCCGGGGGTGGGGAGCTGTCTGGTCCCCAGCCAAGCTCTGCAAAGCCGGGCTGCCCACCTCTCTCCTCAGGCAGGGCTCTTGTGCTTTTGATGGTTGTGTGAGACGCCACAAAAGCCCGGATCTTTGCAGCTGTGCCAGCCCTGCACGCGGCTTGCTTTTCGCCCGGCACTCTGTCCCTCAGTCCAGGTGGGGTGGACAGCAAGGCCCATCATCCCCCGGCTGAGGAAGCCTGCAGCCCAGGAAAGGGGCAACTCCCTTCGGAGCCGGCCGGGGCAGGCTAGATGTGGGGCAGAGGAGAGCAAGGCAAGCCACTCCCGGGGTGTGAGGTTCCCACAGGCAGGAAGTTCTCTGCCTTTTGGGGAAGAAGTCACAGGAGAAAAGAGGCTGAACCTGCCGCTCTGACCGGTTCATGGCGTGCACAACCAGCGGCCGCACATTTCAGGGTCTTTGCTCTGATCCTGTAACGGCCACCACAGGTGAGGTTACGCCGGCACGCAGAGCTGCCAGACATGTCCTGAGCGGAGCCGGCTGGAGCTGGGGTCAGACTAGATGACCCAGGAGGCCCTTCTGCCTCGCTCTCCTTCCATGTGTCTATGTTACTAGACATTTGCGCCTTGTCCCCACTCGAGTCCTATCAGCCACTGCTCCAGCACAGCGGCAGAGACTCTTTTCCCAGGCTTGCTGTGCAGTCTGCGGATACGTTCAGCAAATGCCGCCTTAAAAACGCACCCAAAGGCCTCCCTTCCCGCACTGTGGAAGGTGTTAAGCCATCAGAGAAAGATCCTGCTGTAAAGATCGCGCTGTGCCGCAGCTGGACATCTGCCTGTCCCGCTTCCTCTGCTCGCCCAAATGTTGCCCGCAAACAAAGACTTTGCTTCCGAAAGGGGCCGAAGAAGCGGCCCTCATGAACGGCTCTGCTCGGCTCTGCTCTGCTCAGGTGGCACCGCGTGGCGCTCAGCGTCAGCAAGAAGCAGGTGACGCTCCTCCTGGACTGCAAGAAGAAGGCCACGCGGCCGCTGCCCCGCGGAAGCCAGCCGGTTGTGGACACGCGGGGCATCACCGTCTTCGGCACCCGCCTCCTGGACGAGGAAGCCTTTGAGGTAGCGCCCCCTTCCGGCACCCCCGCTAGCAACGCGGCGGCGGGGGGCTTGGGCGTGCCAGCCCCCCGAGGCCCTGGCCTTTGGAGGGTGGGACGTGGCCCAGCACGCGGCTCCCCGGCCCCGTGCCCTTCGTGGTGGGGCAGGGCGGTGGGCACAGTGCTGATTCCTCCGGGGAGCCACGCCAGCTGCCGTCCGCTTGCACGCCCGCTCCGGAGGCGCCCCCGAACGGCCTGGGCTCTCTGGACCCATTCGGGCCCGTCTGGGGAGCGGATCCGCCTTGGCCGCCCCTCCGGGGGGGGTGGGTGGGAGGGCCTCAGCCTGCTTCTGCAGACTGGGGTCCCATGGGCGTCTTGCTGGCACGCCCCGGGAGGTTGCTGGCAGAGGCACTGCTCAGCTCAGGCTCGTGAGGCTGGCTCCAGAGAGCCGCGCTGGGGGGCGGCCCCCCGGCCCCGTGGTGGCTGAACCATGGGGCGCCACAGGCCACCGTCCCGTCCTCGATGTCACGTCGTCCCGGCAGGAGACTTTGCGGGGAGGAGGTGGGCAGCGGCCCTTCTTCGCTGACGCCACTGGCTCTGTTTCTTGGCTGCGGTTCCGGCTCCGATGAGCCGAATCCCAGCGGGGCAGAGGCCTGCTGGCGCTCCTGCTGGGACACAGCCGGCCGCCCCCCTTCGGGCCCGGGGGGAGCTCCAAGCAGGCGGCCTCATCTCTCCCTCCCCTTCCCCGCCCTGCAGGGTGAGATCCAGCAGCTGCTCATCTCCCCCAGCCCCCAGGACGCCTACGACTTCTGCGAGCACTACAGCCCCGACTGCGACGGCGCCACCCAGAAGCCCCAAGCCCAAGAGGCCGCGCAGAGGCCCGCCAGGCCGGGGGTGAGAAGGGGGCACCGCGGGGGTGGGAGGGGCCGGGCCGCCACCCACACCCCTTCCTCTTCAGCAGCCCCAAGGAGGGGAGATGGGGGGAAGGCGGCTTCTGCCGGAGAAGAGAGCAAGCACCGCTGGAATTTCATTCTAGCCCGCCTAATTCTTGGGGGTCCTGGCCGGGAAGGGGGGAGCATTGCAAAGCACGTTGTCCAAGCTCCAGTTGCAAAACAGGCCCCAGGGAGCCATGGGGAGCAGCCGCCCCACGCCCAGCCATTAGGGGCAGCGGAGGCCCAGATCCCCGGTGCGCAGACGCGGCTGCTCTCCAGCTGACTGGGACCGGTGGGGCCGTTCCCACACGCCTGGCTCGGTCACGCCCCTCCCTTCACGGTGTGGCCAGCTGGCCTTGTGGCGCTCGGGGCCCTCCATCTCGCTTTGGGGAGGGGGACCCAGGCCTGTGCCCCACAGGGCTGCCCTAGATGCAGCGCCGTCGATGACGGGCTCTCCGCAGCTGCTGGTGCGGAGGCTTCAGCCCGAGCCCCAGGGAGGGCGCCCGATTTCCCAGCCAGAGTGCCTGGTGCTCACGGTGGGCTATGGCAGTCCGGCAGCTGCTCTGGCTTGGCGGGGAAGGAGGTCTCTGGGCCCTGTGGTTTTGGAGAGAGGCAGCTATGAGCCCCTGCATCTTCATGACCATGGGGTGACTTCGCCCCCCTGCTTGGAGAGCAGTGCCCTTGACGGGCGTCTTTCGCCTGATCAGGCGCACGAATTCATTCCAAGACTGCCAGCGGATTAAAGACACGTTTTTCCGTGCATTATATCGATTTGAACTGGTTGGTGAAACCCTCCCGGGTTTCCACATGCTTAAACCCATCCCCGGTTTCGTCTGTTCTTTGGAAATGCTTCTAAGCCTGCTGCCCGAGGAATCGAGAGAGGCAGGCCTTCCCCTTCGGCTGCTCGGTCCGACCGCTCGCCAGGGTCTTCCCTGGTGCGTCTGCTCGGAGTGATGCTCGCCACATTCCCACCTGCCTGCCAGTGGCGGCTGCCTCCCGCAGAGCCATCTTGAGCATTTGGGCAGCCGCCTGCCTGGAAAAAGATCTGAGATCCCCCCCTCCCCGACCCCGAACAGACGCATAAAGCAAGCGCTTCTGCAGAGGCCTGTGGGCCCAAAGCACCCCCCGCGCTTTCTGGCGATTCAGCCACCGGCTCCTGGGACCGGTTTTCAGCCCCCCAGGCGTGGCGTTTGTGCGTGGACGAACCAGGCCCCCTCTTGCTGTCCCTCAGTTCTCTGACGTGGCCGCGGAAAAGCAGCATGCCCACTCTCACGGGCCCGGGAAGGACGGGACGGGCTCTCCAGCCTCCACGCCTCTGTGGGGAGCCGGTGAGCAGGTAACGGGAGGGGTGGAGGATGCTCCCCCCCCGAGTGTCTGTCCGCCCATCCTTGTCTCCGAGCCTCGTTCTCCTGATGTGGTTGTCTGTCCTGTGTCCGGTGTCCATCCGTCTGTCTGCCCACGTCCAGCCATTTTGCCCGTTCCCTAGCAGCGCGACAGGCCAGGGCTGAGTGGAAAAGGAGGTCCCCTCCCAGCCCTCCCTCTCTTCTGGCCACATGTCTGGGGGTTCTGCACCTGGGGTACAGGTGGCCTCTTTCACAGGTGGGATCCCTGGGGACGGGGGGGGCGCCAGTGAGCGGGAGCCCTTGCGGGGCTGCTCGGGGGAGAGGAGCTGTGTGGATCCGGCTCCAGAACACCTCCCATCTCTACGCTGCCCGTTCTGATCTCCCAGGCCCGGGAGCAGGCACAGAACGGCTGGCGACTCCAGTCCAGGAGCCCCAGTCAGGCCCTGCACCCTGCCCCACGGTCTCTGCGGCCCCCGCAGCCTGGCAGCTGCTGCGTCGCGTCCCGGGTGCGGCAGTCGTGTCCAGGGGGCCAGCGGCCCACGTGCCTTGTGGCTGTGGGACATTCACGGAAGGCGGGGCCGATGTGCTGGAGTAGCCGCCGGCAAGCAGGGCCCTTTCTCCCCTCCCTCGGAGCCAGGGGCACCACGGCTGGAAAATCCAGGGGGAAACAGGCAAAGCCGCTGGAAAAGCCTTTGGCCCTTTTTTCTAGAAGCCGGGCGAAATTCTGGCACCCCCCTGGGCCCAAGGCACTGCTCCGAATGCTCGCTCAAAGGTCCCCGCTTCGCATTCGACTGACTCCGATTCCGGTGAGACTCGGGGAACCTCTGAATGAGGCAAAGTCTCCTTAGACAGGAGAGCTTGAGGTGGCCTCTGCGTGCCAGGCCAAATCTGGGGATCCCAAGATTTCGCCCCGATGCAGGACTGGCCAGATCATAGAAACACAGAAACAGAGTGAGTCAGAAGGGGTCTCCCGGGCCATCTAGTCTGACCCCGGCTCCAGCCGGCTCTGCTCATAGAAACATAGAAACATAGCGAGTCGGAAGGGGTCTCCCGGGCCATCTAGTCTGACCCCGGCTCCAGCCGGCTCTGCTCACAGAAACATAGAAACAGAGCGAGGCAGAAGGGGCCTCTGGGCCATCTAGTCTGACCCCGGCTCCAGCCGGCTCTGCTCACAGAAACATAGAAACAGAGCGAGGCAGAAGGGGCCTCCCGGGCCATCTAGTCTGACCCCGGCTCCAGCCGGCTCTGCTCACAGAAACATAGAAACAGAGTGAGTCAGAAGGGGTCTCCTGGGCCATCTAGTCTGACCCTGGCTCCAGTCGACTCCGCTCACAACATGCCCACCATGTGCATGTCTAGCCTATCCTTGAACACCTGCACCGATGGGGTCTTTGGCAGCTGAGCTGGGAAGATGCCTTTATGCCTAGTCGATTCAGTCTTCTTCAAAAGCTGGCCTGCTTTGCACGACCCACAAGCCCCCCGTGGCCTCTCGCAGTCCCAGAGCACTGCAGTGCGTTCCTTGCGGCCGGCGGATGCTCCAGCCACGGCTGCGGCTTTTCGGGGTCTCCGGCTGTGGTGTGGGTGGACTGTGTGGGCGCTCAGCAACCTGAGCAGAATCCCTGGCTTGTCTTAGGGCTATTGTGCCCTTGTTTAGCCTTTGCACAACCCACTCTGCTGGGACTGGATGACACGCTGGGGACGAGGTGGTGGGCTAGTCATGCGGCAGAGCCTGTGGAGGGGCAGCCGTGGCTGCTGGCGGGGTCTTTTCAGGGCAGCCCAGGCAGATTCCTGCTCTTTGCCAGCTCATGGCGGTTGGGGGGATACAGTTGGCTGCAGTTAAGAAATCCGCTTCTCTTTCGTCATCTGTTTACTTTCGGTGACTAATTACAAATATGCCCAGAGGTTTTCCGGCATTTCTTCCTTTTAAATATACTTATTTGCCCTAATAATATTTATTCTACGACATGCAAAGGAATGTCCCAGTATTTCTGACCAGGTTTGCCCCGTGATTTCCTCCGCTTTCCGCCAGCCGTTCGGCACTCGCAGGTGCCAGGCTCCTGGAATGTCCCGCAGCCACGTCAAAGCCTCTGCCTGCAGCCCCCTCAGGCTCGCCCTGGCAAGGCATTGTGTTTTCGCTTCTTTGCCCCTCTGTTTCGCCGGAGAAATTCCCAGAGCAGCTTAAAACATGGAAGCATGGAAACAACGCGAGTTGGAAGGGGTCTCCCAGGCCATCTAGTCTGACCCCGGCTCCAGTTGGCTCCGCTCAAAGAAACAGAGTGAGGCAGAAGGGGTCTCCCAGGCCATCTAGTCTGACCCCGGCTCCAGCCGGCTCTGCTCAGAGAAACAGAGCGAGGCAGAAAGGGTCTCCGGGCCATCTAGTCTGACCCCGGCTCCAGCCAGCTCTGCTCAGAGAAACATAGAAACAGAGCGAGGCAGAAGGGGTCCTCTGGGCCATCTAGTCTGACCCCGGCTCCAGCCCGCTCTGCTCAAAGAAACAGAGCGGGTCAGAAGGGGCCTCCCGGGCCATCTAGTCTGACCCCGGCTCCAGCCGGCTCTGCTCATAGAAACAGAGCGGGTCAGAAGGGGTCTCCTGGGCCATCTAGTCTGACCCCCGGTTTGCCGGGTATGCCGTATGAGGTGAGGCTGAGGGAGAGGAATCCCTACAAGATAGGAATCCTGGCACGGCTGCATTCAGACAAGATGATGGCCCACAGGGCTGAGCGTGTGGCCAAGGAACAAGGGGGTGCTGTTGAAACGGCTTACGCTTGGTGAAGCTGGATTGCTTTCGGGAGCCGTAGTTAGGAGCAACCGTGGTTTAGTGTTGAGAGGAGACCGCGGAGAGTGGCTGAGGAAGCAGAAGCTGGGCCATCCCGTATCCTCCGTGCTATTCACTGCGGACGAGGAGGAACGCTGGCGCCCTGCGGGGTCTGGGGCAGCTCTGTCGCCTGGGGTCTCCAGATTGTGGGACAGGCGCCCACGGAGCTGGAGCCCCCCTCACCTGGAAGGCTCTGGGTGGCGAAAAGCTGGCTCGGGGGGACTCCCAGCAGGTGATCTCAGGTGCTGCCAGGCTCAGCAAGCACAGCTCTGCCCGGGTGCAAGCGGCTCTCTCCGTGTGCACAGTTTAGAAATAATTACGAGGGTGGCTAGATATCTTCCGAGGCAAAGCCGGCCCATCCGTGTCTCACTCAGATAATCTCAGATGGGATGCATTCTTGGATGAATCAGCAGCCTGTCCCAGATCACCCTAAAGTGTGGGGAGATTTGGGGGCAGGGAGGACCAGCGGCTCCCCTCCCCTGTTCTGCACCCCCGTGCTGCGGTGCAGCCGCAAAGCCCCTCCACTGGCCTGGGGCGCTGAGCCCCGGGCCACGCCTGCTGGAGCGGGCCTTCGGGCTCCCTGCTCTTCTGCGGCCTGGCGGCGGGGCAGGCCCTGGGGGAGAGTGCAGGAAGGGCATGGTGGGCAGGGCTCCCCGCTCTCCAGGCCCCCCCCCCCCCGCAGTCGTGTGCAGCCGTTCCGGCAGAACTGGGGCCGCTCAAGGGGCGCATCTGGTGGAAAAGCTGATCAGCCACCCCTCCCTGAGCAGGCGGCAAGGAACACGCGGCCCGTCGACTGCGGGGGGTGATGCCTTCCCCCGGGGTTAGAACAACAGTGTCCAGCATCCCTGCCAGCACGGCCATGACGATCGCTGGCCACGCTGATGGGCTCCTCGCCTGTCCAGAGGAGGGCGGCCCTTCTCATGGTGCCCGCTGCCTTGGCCGCTCCGTGGGGAGGGCCAGCCACCTGCCTGCCGGCCCTGCGCCCCACAGCTCGCCCACGGAGCGCCTGGGGACCCCCGTGCCCTGCCACGTCCGGGCAGTGGGCAGCTCTGCGACCCTCCCCCTTGCAGCCCGGCCCCCGCTCCGGAGGCAGGGACCCCGGAGGGCTCCTTCCCGTCGAGACGTGGCCCGGGCCGGGGGGATGTGGGGGGCGGGGAAGCATGCTGGAATCCTGCGGGGGGCGCCGGTGCCCCTCTCCCGGCCCGCTGCCCCCGCCGCCGCATTCACGAGCCTGTTTCTCTTTGCTTCCCGGGTCGTGTGCTCCGCTGCCGCCTCCTCGCCAGAACGCCGCCAAGCCTGGCGCCCCCCGCAAGCCCAAGGCGAAGCGGCCGCAGAAGCGCCAGCTAGCGGCCATGCCGCCCCCCTACGCCAAGACGGGGGCCAAAAACGGGAAGTCCTCGGGCAAGGCCCGCGGTGGCGGCGGTGCCGGTGCCAAGGCGACTGCGGGGGGCAGATCCTCGGCCGCGAAAAGCCCCCCGGGCAGAGCTGGTGGCCAGGCGCACGCCGGGGCCGGCGGGACCCGGACGCCGGGAAACAGCTACCAGCAGGTAGAGCCAGAGAGGAGGGAGCAGGGCTGTGCGGAGCCCCTCCGGGGGGCAGGCCCCTCATCCAGCCGCGTCCGTGTGTCCCCCTCTGTGTCTGCGAGCTGTGCCTGCATGTCCCCCACGCGGCCGCGGGGGAACCGTCCGAGCAAGAGAAAGGAGCCCGCGGGAGCCCGAAACCTTGGAAGGGGCCGCGAGCCGCATCCCTCCCGCGAGCCCCTTCCAAGTTTGGCCTCGCTTTTCTCTTGACCCCCCCTTCCCGCCAGCGGACCCCCGGGAGGGCTGGCTCCCTCCCCACCTGTGGGGGAGGCTGTGATTCTGCCCCACGGAGATCACTTTGTCCCCGAGTGGGAAAATGATTCCGGCCGGCGAGGAATCCCCCGTCTGCCGCTGTGCCCCGAAAGGGGAACGTTGGATCGACTAATGGTGTCTTCTCTGTCTGTCTGTCTGTCTGTGATCCGGTTGTTCTGTCTGGACTCATCGATCCACCTGTCCACTCGCCCCACCCCATGCACCGTTCAACCCCTCCTGCCCCACACCTGGCCCTCCAACCGCCACACTCCTCCCGTGCCCTGCTCCTTTCGGGACACCCCCCGTCTCCCCCCACACGCCTCCTCGCGTTCCCCCGGCCCTCTTCTCCCTTCGGCTACACCCACCACCGTGGCACACTGTTGCTCACAGTCCTCCCCCAAGGATGTGGGTCTGCCCCCCGCAGAGGAGCCTTGCGAGGCTTCCGAGCGCCCTGACTACACCCTGTCTCCTGATGCAGGACGGATTTGCTGGGAAGAGCACCCTGGGGGGGAGGTATCGCCCCATGCCTTCCCCTCACCGTGGGCAGAGGGAAATTCCCCCCCCCCCCCCCCCCGAATCCCAGGATGAGATCGGGGGGGGGGGGTAGGAAGGAAAGCTGCTCCTTAGCTGCTTGTGACGTGGTGGGATACGGGGCCTGCAGGAGAGGGGGGGGGCAGCCATGGCCAGGGCAGCCGGGCATCGTGGGGATCAAGCGCAGGGCCAGCTCCCCAGGGTCCCGGGAAGAGCAGGGGAACTGATAGGCTAGCCCGGATGAGCTGGGATCCCTGACTGGCTGCCTGGCAGCGGGTGGGCCGGGTGGGAGACTCCTGGAGGTCGGGGGGCTCGGGCCCAGGGCCAACTTCCCTCTCTAATGCGTTCTTGGGTTCCCCCCGGCATGGGGCCAGGAGGAGGTGCCCAGCCCACGTCCCGCCGAAGAGCAGGTGTTCGCGGAGGAGGAGGTGCCAGGTGTGGGCCTGGGGCACCGGCACCCCTACGAGGACCTCGGCCAGCTGCCGGAGCTGGGCCCTGTGCTCCCGGCCGAGGCCCCGCCTGGCGGAGGCGTACGTGGGTGCTGCTCCTTCCGGGCCCTGGGGCCCTCCTCCGGGCTCGCCCATCCCCTCCCGCTGGGTCTCAGTGGCACGGCATGGTCCTGGCGAGTCCCCCATTTCGGGCCGCGGGGCACGGTGGTCTCACTCCCCCCGGCCGGCCCCGGTCGGCTTGGCCTGGCCGTCCCGCCGTCCTCTTCGTGTGGCCCAGTCGCCTCCGTGGGCTCCGCTGACGTGCCCGCGGCAAGCGGGCTGCCCCCCCACCGGGACCCCCGTCCGCGGCACGCAAGGGTCGCCCTGTCACCCCCTCGTCCCGCCTGGCACTGCCGTCCTTTCCTGCTCCGTGGGTCCCTTCCCGGGGCCCAGCGCCCCCTCCTCTGCCGCAGGACCCTCCCCCCCGCTTTGCCCCCCTTCGTCGCCGTGCCGACGGCGCTCGCTGCTGCGGCCGCTCGCCCGGTGTTGCCACGCTGCCTGCGTTGCCGGTCCGCTCCACTGCCTGCCCTCCCATTTCGGGGCTCCTGTGGGTTGGGCAGCTCTGGCAGTTTCAACCGGCCCTGTGCGTCTTCCCAGCGCCTCCCTGTGACATCCTCACTCTGCCGTGATGTCCTCCCTCCCTTATTTCTCTCAAGCGTTTATATCCCGCCCTTTCGGGGTCTCCGAGCGGCAATGCTTGTCCTCGGCCTCCCGTTGGCCGGCTCAGAAATGGGCTGCCATCCCCTCCTGGCAGCGGGAAGCCAAGGCCCTGGGGGCCTTTCCCCTTCTTCTGGGATGGCATCACCGGCTCCGTGATGCCATCGCACGCCAGGCCATCTCTGCAGGCGGCCCCCTTCCCCGGGGGGGCACCAATTCCTGATTTGGGGAGAGACCCCAAACGGGATCTGGTCATCTACCCCCCGCGCTGCCCTCTCGGAGGGGCGATCCTCCCCCCGCCCCCAGCTCGGCACCGTCTTGGCCCTCCGTGCATGTCCCGGGTCAGGTCCGTGCGTTTGCTTGCAGCAAATCGGATGAGTCGCAGGCTCCGAGGGTCCCCATGGGGTCATCCGGATGCACCGCAAAGCCCAGGAACGGGGGGCGGGGGGGTTGCTGCCTCCCCATGTTGGTGTTCAGCTCTTCGGAAGCTTCCTTGGGATTAATTAACGATGCAAATGAGCGTCCCTGTATCTTTCTTAAGCTCTTAAGTGCATTTCGGCCTCCCCCCCCCCCCCCCCGTAGTTTGCAAGTGTCCCAGTGTGACGTCTTGCCTAGCGGGCTACACTTTAGTGCCTGGATTTACTCCTGAGTAAATGCATGTAGGCTGTAGGCCCCCCTCTGGCCAGAGCGTGGCTTGCCCAGACGGCCTGATCCGGCAACCCCTGCTTGTTTTAGGCAGGGGGCGCATTTCAAGGGGGTGCGGTGCAGCCCGTGGGGGCGAGGTGATCGTGTGACCACATCACCCCAGCCCCATTTCCCACAGTCAGTGCCCTTCACTCGCTGGGGGTCTGTGGCACCGTCTGGGGCTCCCTCGATGCGCACGGCACCCCCTTCGGCTTTTCCTGGAGAGCCACCTCCTCCCCACGCGGAGCCCGTCTTCTTGGGATCGGGGCTCCCCGCTCAGGCCAAGACACCCCCCTCACTTCCCGGAAGCGGGCCCAGGGACTTGGGGGGCAGGGGGGCTGCTTCTCCCATACTGACTGGCGTCTCTTTGCGGTTACATGTGTGTTTCCCACAGGTGCTGCACGGGGCCAGAGGCATCAAAGGGCAGAAGGGGGAGCCGGCCGTCTTCGAGCCCGTGAGTCCCGGGCGGGGGGCCGAGGCTGGGAGGTGGGCCGGGACGTGGGGCCCGTCGGCTGTCGGCTGAAGATGCTCGTCAGAATCGGCGCGGATCGCGGCGCGGATCCGGGTTCTGCAGCTCCGCACGACCCGTTCTGCCGATCCTCCGGGGCACCGGGCTCCGCCGGGCCTCTCGCCAAGCCTGGCCATCTGGGATCGGGATGGAGGCACAGCCCGGCCCGTGGGGCTCCTCCTCTCGTGCGTCCCGCAGTCCCGCCGCCGGGCCGTCCTGCCTGCCGCAGCCGCATCCTCGGGTCCGCACCTTGCGTGGAATCAGAGCAGCCCTGCTGGAGCGGACCCGGCGCCCGTCTAGCCCGGCCCTCCGCACACACGGTGGCGAACCGGCCGCCCGCGGGATCCCTCCAGAGGCTGGGCGCAGGACCTCTGCCCACCCGAGTCCCGACTGGAGGGGCCACGTGTGCTTGAAAAGCACACTTCTGCCCCCCCGCACCCCGCAGCTCTGCCCAAATCCTTTGCTCACTTTTCGTGCACCCGAGTGCATTATGAATAACGGTGCGCAACATCTCCAATTCTCCAAGGCACGGTGGAGAGCGGCCTGGTCCCTGTTTTCCTGGGGCGGTTGCAAGGCTGGGGGGGCGCTTGCCCCCTCGGTTCCCCAGCCCCACATTCTGGCCGCCCCTCGGCTGGCCGGGCAGCTTTCAAGGCAGCCTGGGGATGCTGGCAAGGGGAGTCACCGGGCCCCGGCGGGGAGGGGTGTTGGTGTCTGGGTGGCCTCCCGGAAGCATCGCGGGGACCCCGAAGGCCCCCGGACGCCGCCTGCGCTGGTGTGGCTGGCCGCGCTGGGCCCCGTTCTTCGCTGGCCGTCCGAGTGTTTATCTCCGCGTGGCCTGAAATGACAGGCTCTCTCTCGGGGTAAACAATGCCGTCTTTCAGGGCGAGGGGGGAGGCGCTGTGTCTGCGGGGGGGGGGGCACGGCTGCCTCCTCACCCGGTGCGTGTCCGCCTTCTTCTCTCCGCAGGGCATGCTGGTGGAAGGTCCCCCTGGCTCGGAAGGACCGCCGGTAAGAGCCGAGCCGCTCCGTGGGCTCCGCTGGGAGGGGCCGGGCCTGCCTGCGCCCCCCGCCAGCGCCAGGACCCCAACGGAGCTCTCTCCTGTCCCCCCCCCTGCAGGGCTTCTCGGGGCCGCCCGGCACCCAGGGACCCCCCGGACCCTCCGGCGATCCCGGCGACAGGGTGAGTGCGAGGCAGCTGTGCCACCTGGGCGAGGGTGACGGGGTGGGAGGGTGCCCAGGGGGACGCCTTTGGGGCCAGGTGGGGGGCTGGTGCCCCTGCTGAGGGGCTGCAGGCGAGAACCCCGGGCTCCCCCCCCTGCATTCCCCCCGCCCCGGCTCGTTCACCCACCTCTCGCTCTGACCCGGCTAGGGCGGGGGCGAGAAGGAAGAGGGCCGCTGCCGCCGGTTTCTCGCCAGCTCTGCCCAGCACGCAGGCACAGCGGCTCTGACGGGGCAGAGGAGCCGGGGATGACGGAAGCGAGCGGGGAGGCCTTGCCCAGGCCCGGAGCTGGCCCGGGGGGTGGTGCGCCCTTGCTGGTCATCCTCACAGCGGCACCTGGGCCCTCCTTGCCTCCCCTGGTCCCAGCTGCAGCCCCCTAGCGTGGCCCCTTGCCATGGGGAGGAGGTTGCGGCGACTCCTGCTGCCCCCCACGAGCAGAGTGGCCCCCTCCTCTTCTGTATCCGGGCCGGCACGTCGCTCCTGCCTCCCCACGGGAGCGGCTGAGGCCATGTGGGGCCCCTCTGCTGCTTGTGACTACAAGCCCCAGCATCCCCAAGGCCCCACTAGCCTTAGAGGGCGTCGGGCACCAGACACCAGGACGACCTCCCGTCTTGTGCAGTGACAGACCCAGCCGGCCACCGGGCGCCTTAGTGGCTGGGGCCAGCGCCCTCCTGCCCCGGCCCCGAGTGGGCCACCACAGGGGGCAGAGGCTCCTCTGCTCCTCCCACCGGGGCTGCCACGCACGTGTGCGAGCGCCAGCCCCGCTGGGAGGGCCCCTTCCCCCTGCCGCAGCGCCTCTGCTTACCGGTCTCCCGCTCGTGCCCACAGGGTCCTCCAGGACGGCCCGGCATGCCCGGATCCGACGGTGTCCCTGGACCCCCCGGCACGTCCATGATGCTCCCGGTGAGTCGCCCAGAAGCGCGCTGAAGCCGGGGACCCTCAGGCCGCCCCCGTCCTGAGGGCAGAGGTGCCCCCCGGGCCTCGCCTGGGGGCTGGCCCCATTCATGCCGGACCCCTGGAGATGGGGCCGGGAGGGCACAGTGCTGGCTGGTCAGCATGGAAACTACTTTTTGGACCAGCACAAAGATGCAGCGGCCGGATCCCTCTCGGGGAAGCTGGGGTGACCCCCGGGGGGCCAAACCTAGGCTGTGGGGCTCCCCGGATGGCCCCCCACCCCAACTGTGGGTGGATTGAGGGACTCTGTGCAGGTGCTCATCCGTGGCAGCGATTGCTCTGGGCAACCATATTGATCTCATCATTAGATTTCCTCACCACTTGGTAGGGGGGGCTCTCGGGGGGGGGGGGGCAAGACAAACCTAAGGCCCCACCCCCTGAGACCAGGCCCTGCCTCCATCATAACCCAAAGGTCCCCGCTCCAAACCTCATCTCAGTCCCCCAAGACATGAGCCGCGGCGGGAGCAGCACCCGAAGAGGTGGGTGCTTTCGCCGCCTTCGCCTCTGCCCGCTCGTCCCGGATCCCGCCCTCCCCTGGGACGTGGCCCCAGAGAGCGTCTCTGAGGCGGGATCCGGCCCTCGGCCTCGCGGGGGGACTGCACCCCCTGAGCTGCCGGCGCCTCGCCCTGTCTTCACACCTCCACCCCCCCACCTCCACCCCCCCACTGGCCCCTCTTGCGAGAGTTTATTCCCCGGGGAAAAGAGGGCCGGGAAGAGCAGCGGCTGGCTGGAGGGTCGGTTGGGCTGGGGCTCCACAGAGCTCCCAGGTCAGCCCCCCCCCTCAGCCTGTCCTGCCTCGCAGAGCTGCTGTTGCGAGGATCAGGGAGGGAGGAGGAGTGGGATGGGGGAGGACCGTGGGGGCCGCCTCCGGCTCTGGGAGGAAGAAGCAGTGATAAAGGGGGCAGAGGCTTGGTTGCACCACCCCTCGAAGGGTGGCCGGTCCCGGGAGGAAAGGGGCTTCGAAGGGAGAGGGTCCCGGTGCCCCAAATCCCACACCGGAGTGCGCTCACGGCCTGTGGGGGGCGGGCAGGCCGAGGGGGCAGGAGGCAGGCCGCAGGCAGAGCTGCAGTCTGGCAGCCTCCAGCAGGGGGCATCGTGGAGGCGAGAGCCCAGCCCCCTCGGAGTTGCCCTGCTCCAGGGCGTGTGCAGAGTGCATCCCACCGGATGCCGTGGAGCTTACTCCCGAGTAGACACATCCAGGATTGCTCTGCGAATGGCATGCAACCGGGGATGCTATAGCGGTTTGTGGTGTGGGAGGCTCAGATCTTTGTGTGTGGGGACAAGAGGGACCACGGAGGAAATTATATTCCCATGTTGCAGCCTGACCTGCTCCAGAACAGGAGCACGTGGACAAGCACGGAGGGACTGGATCGATCGATCGATTTATCGATGGATTGATTTTCTGTGCCACCTGATAGCTGGAGCTTTCTGGGTGGCTTACGACGACACTTAAACTTGCATTTTGGGCTGGGGGAGACAGACGAGAACTGGCTGCCAGGGTGTTGCTGCAGAACGTGTGAACGGCGGTTCTGCATCTCGGGTGCAGCAGAAGGGACGGGCGCTGTGTGAATCGGGACAGCTGTTCTGGCTTCCACGGGGTTGGAGATTCCGGAGAAATCCAGAGGGAGGGAGAGTCCGGAGAGGGCTGAGGAAGGCCAGGAAAGCTTGGGGCGTGTGGAGCTCTGGGAATGTGGAGGGACACCCTGGGAGACCCTGCTCTGGATACAGTCTCCCTCAGAGAGCGGGCAGGTGCCTGGAAATTCACATGCTGGGTAAAAACATTTCCGTTTTCTCGCACTTTTATTCATGCATCGCGCTGTAGCTTCAAAATCACAATTGCTCTGTTTTAAAACAACTTCACTCTGTTTTTACTCTGCCTTGGTAAAAATTCGTATTGCGAAAGGTAGGTTTGGATCCAGCAGTGTTTGAAGACGACGACGCAGAATACAAACTGTTCCGCACGGACACTTTTAAACGGAAAAGAGGGTTCGAAGTGCTGCAAAACACAGCAAGCAGAGGCGCTGGCCCACGCTGGCTTGTGATTTTACGCCCCCTCCGTGCCAGAAGTGTTTTCTTGTGCATCTGCCCGGGGCTGCCTGCCTCTGGCAGAGCAATCTGGGAAGGCCCGCCGGAGGCGAGGTGGCCCGCGGGTGCCTCTCCGGTGCCGTGTCCAGGAGCCGGGCCCAGGCCCAAGGGCCCGGGGGCTCCCGGCTGGAGGAAGTCTGGCGCGGCGCCTCCAGCCAGGGAGGGCCGGGCCCACGGCTCCTCTCGCTTCACGTGCTCCCGTTTCCTCCCCCAGTTCCGCTTCGGGAGCAGCGGAGGCGGCAAGGGACCCGTCGTGGCGGCGCAGGAAGCCCAGGCCGAGGCCTTCTTACAGCAAGCCCGCGTGAGTGGCAGCGGGGGGCGTGTGGGGTGGGGGACACTGGGCGGAGAGGAGACCCCTGCCCTCTGCCCTGGGCAGTCCCCGGTCCGCCCCTGGAGTCTCCGAGCCCTTCTGGAGGGGCCAGTGGGCCCGAGGGGCCGGCACTGGCACCAGCACCCCCCCCGGGGCCATCTGCCCGCCCCATCACCAGCGCAGGACCCCTGCGGCTGCCACCCCCCACTGGCGATGAGCGCTTCTGGGCCCGGGCGCCCCCCCTGCTGGGGAGCAGATCCGCCTTCTCCAGCTCCCTGAGGGTGGACGGGGGTCCCAGAGCCTCCCCAGAGGGGCGTTTAAGGCTGCCCTTGCTCCTTGCCCATGGCCACATTCTCCTCCCAGCTCAGGGGCAGCTGCCGCACAACTGGGGGGGGGGGAGAGGGGTGCCCCCAGGTCGAGATCGTGGGTCTCCCCCTTCAGCCTCCCCCGTTTGGACGCACGGAGGCGCCACGTGTGAGCTCACGGGGCCTGCATTGCGTGCGCTGGGGATGCCCGTTGCCAGCGCCGCCCCAGAGGGGCATGAGGGGTGGGCAGGGAGGCTACCCCCGCTCCCGTGCCAGATCCCAGGGGGGTCGTCCCAGGGCGCTGACTGACGGAAGGCTCCGGACTGGCCACAGCACAGAGCTGAGCTGTTGGGATGGCCACCAGCTTGGGTGTCTTTAAAGGGGGATTGGACACGCTTGTGCTGGAAAAGGCCCTCAGCAGGCTGCTAGTCCTCATGGTTCTGGGCGGTTGGGGCTGGAGGCTGCCTGGCTCGTGCAGGGACTGTGGGTTCCTCACAGGCCCTTTGGGAGCAGTGGCCTGGACCAGGTGGAGCACCTGTGGCCCGGCCCGGCCTCAGGGCTCTTCTCCGGCTCCTGGTGCCGAGGGCGGCCCAGCCTGGCGGGGTCTTGCAGGCAGGGCAGCGACTGCATTCGGGCTGAGGCGGAGGAGGAGATGAAGAGAGAGGCTGAGGAAGAGAGCTGAGCTGTGCCGGGCCATCATCAGACATTTGAAGCAAGCGCCAGGGGGGTGGGAGAGAAAGGTGGCCAGAGAACCCATTGCTCAGATGGGCAAGCCAGTTTCAGCCCCATTTGCACTGGAGGACCCTTCCCGCCGCGCTTCCTCCAGGGCCCCTCTTGGGTTTCCACGTTGCTCGGCCGGCGCATCACCCCCCCTCTGTTTGCTCTGCAGATGGCCCTGCGCGGCCCCCCAGGACCGGCGGGATACACCGGCCGCCCTGGCCCCATGGTGGGTGTTCGCGACTGCGGGCAGGCGAGGGAGGCGGGGGGCTGGGGCGGTGTGAGGCCCACCCACGGGGGGGACGGGGACGTGCCCACGCTGGCCTCTGGCATGGTGCCCCTGCAAATGGGCCGGCCGGGGCTTACGGGCCTTGCCAGCAGCCAAGGTGGGACGGGCGAGGTTTGGCCCCACCGTGGGCACGCCTGGAGGAGCCGGGGGGAAAGGGGGGTCCTTGGCACCCCGGGAACCAAGGCTCAGGGTGGTCGGGACCCCGAGGGTGTGGAATGGGCTTCCCTGGGAGGTGGATGAGGCCCCTCGGTGAAGGTGCTCAAGGACAGGCTGGACATGCATGTGGTGGGCATGTCGTGAGCCGAGCCGGCTGGAGCCGGGGTCGGACCAGATGGCCCGGGAGATCCCTTCTGACTCACTCTGCTTCTATGAGCAGAGCCGGCTGGAGCTGGGGTCAGACTAGATGGCCCGGAGGCCCCTTCTGACTCACTCTGCTTCTATGAGCAGAGCCGGCTGGAGCTGGGGTCAGACTAGATGGCCCGGAGGCCCCTTCTGCCTCGCTCTGTTTCTATGAGCAGAGCTGGCTGGAGCCGGGGTCAGACTAGATGGCCCGGGAGACCCCTTCTGCCTCGCTCTGCTTCTATGAGCAGAGCCAGCTGGAGCCGGGGTCAGACTAGATGGCCCGGGAGACCCCTTCTGACTCGCTCTGCTTCTGTGTGTCTATCCCTTCCACTTCCAGGGTCCACCGGGCAGCAACGGCATAAAGGGAGAGCACGGAGACTTTGGCTTCCAGGTAACATGGCCCCTGAGCTCTGCGGTGCACACGGCCCACCCTTTCCTGCCCGAACCCCCCCCTTCCCAGCCCTCCAGCTTGAACCCTGGGCTCGGCCCTTCAGCTCAGAGGACGCTGGTGCTTCCACAGCCCCCAGGGGTGGCTGAAAATCTGGGGCGCAGCCCTGCAGTCCTGGTTCCGGGGCCCCGTCCCTGCAGACAGGGCGCTGGCTCTGCCTGGCCCCGTGCCCTGCGCCAGGATGCCCACCAGCCTGGCCCCTCGAAGAAGTACTGGTGGTGAGGACGGGGGGCTCCCCACCTCCCCTTCCAGCCGTGCCACATCTGGGCTTCCGGAAGCCCCCCCCGCCCATGCCAAATGAGGGCTCCAAGGCCAAGGGGAGGGCTGCTGGGGCTCGGCCCCCTGCCGGGAGTGTGCGTGGCCGCACAAAGGGCCCCCCACCCTGCAGCGCGGCCCTGAAGCCCCCCCCAGGGTGGGAGCTGTCCCAGAGGCCGGTGCCTGCGCAGGGGGCATGCCCGCGAGCAGGGGGTGTGCACAGTGGGGGTGCGGGGGGGTGCCCAGGCTCTGTGGAGGGCGCTTGGGAGTGGGGGGCTGGGCTGGGGTGCAGGTATGCAGGAGGGATCTGTGTGGGGTAGGGCGTGTGTCTGTGGGGGAATCCGGTTGGGGGCGCCCGTGTGCTGGCATGTGGCCCCACGGGCTGGCCCACTCGGCCTAGAAAGCTGCCCCCCAGGCCAGGCCTCCCCCCCATCCCGCCTCCTTTCCTTCCCACTCTAAACCAAGCAGAGGGACGAGATGTGCAGCCCCATCCGGCCCCCCCAAAAGACCCCTTTTCTTCCTCTTTCCATCTAGGGACCGCGGGGGCCGCAAGGGCTAACTGGCCCCCCAGGGAAGCCGGGCCGCCGAGTAAGTTTCTTCCTCCCTTTCCCTAAGAGGACTTGAGACGGCTCACCAGCCAAAAGGAGCTGATGATGGTGGTGGTGGTGGTGGAAATAAAAAAATGCCTGAGGCCAAGGGAGGGCCCTGAATCTCACCTGCCTGTCTGTCTGTCTGTCCGTCCGCAGGGTCGTGCCGGAGCTGATGGGGCACGGGGAATGCCGGGGGAACCCGGCGTCAAGGTGAGGGCACCCCCGGGGAAGGGCCGGGCTGCCATCTGGGGCCGGCCGGCCGGCCGGGGCTGCGGCACGCACCCCGCAGCCGCTGTGGGCCCGGAGGGTGCCTGAGCACTGCCCGTTGAGTCCGGGCGCTGGGGACCTGCCCCCCAGCTCAGAGACGGGCCTTCTCTTCCCTCCGCAGGGTGACCGTGGGTTCGACGGACTCCCCGGCCTTCCAGGGGAGAAAGGACATCGGGTGAGTCCTGTGGGGAAGGAGAGGCCGGCAGGGGCCACTGCGGCTCGGGCCCCCGACTTCCCTCCCCATCCCACTCCCAGCTTTCCCCACAGGGGCACGATAGGCAGAAACCCAACCGGGGAAGCCTCTCCTCATTTCCCAGTGTTGCATGTCCGTGTCTCCGAGCCACCCCTGTTGAACTGCCGCGCCATGCAGAGCTGCTGACGGCGCAGGAGGACAGGCGCGTGGCGTGTGGGGTGGACATAAGCACCCCCTTTCCCATGCGAGGGGCACGTGGGAAGGTCACAGGGCAAAGCTGTCCTGCCGCCTGCGGAGCCTGGCGGGCCTTCTGATCCTCGCAAGGTGAGGGCCGCACGGATCCGTGCAGGGGGGCGGCCAGGGAGCGCCACTGCCTGAAGCAGCCTCTCCCCATGGGCCCCCCTTGAAGGAGATCAGGAGCGTGGCTTCCCGGAGGAGGGCCTTCTCTGCAGTGGCACCCCGACTCTGGAACACGCTCCCCGGAGAGGCCCGCCTGGCGCCGTCACCTCATTCCTTTCGGCACCAGGCAAAACCCCTTTGATTCTCCCGTCATTTTAACACTTGGTCGGTTTTCCTTGTGATGCTATTGTGAATTGCGGGATGTTGTGCTGTTTTTTATCCGTGCCTGTTGTCAACTGACCCGAGAGGCTAGTAATGGGGCGGCCCATAAAATGAGTAAAAATGAATGAATAAATATTGTTCATAAGTATCGAATGAATAAATACGAGCGCTCTGGACGGAGGAGCATGTGAACGGGGCTGGATCACTTTGCAGGTTGCGGCCTCACTTCCCCTTCCCCTCTGCTTTTTTTTAGGGTGACGCCGGCGTGCAGGGCATCCCTGGCTCTCCTGGGGAAGACGGCGAGAGGGTAAGTTAGGGGAAGGTGAGGAGCACGGTTTCTAAGATAGTGCTTCAGGGCCTTGAGGACTAGCAGCTTACCTTTCCAAAAAGAAGGAAGGCGAGATGCTGCAATTGCGAACTTCTGCCTGCTGGGCGCTGGGCTGACGTGGGGGCTGCCAAGAGAAGGAATAAAATGCACGTTTTCTGGACGTGGAAAGAAGCAGCGTCCGTGGAACTGCTTCTTTCCCGACACGCTCCTTGTTTGTGACACTGTGATCCTTTCTCCGGCCAGGGAGACGACGGTGAAGTTGGACCACGGGGACTTCCCGGGGAGCCGGTAGGTGCCCCCTGCGTTCGAACCTCCCGAGGGAATTTTCGGGGTCATTATCATGATCGGAACAATACCCCCCCGCCCCCCAAGCTGGATCCCCCTGGCTGCTTGGCTCCCACGGTGCCAGGCCGAATCCCTTTTCGTGCACTGTCCGATTAGCAGCAAGCTGTGCCAGCAAGTTTTCGGAGGAGTCGGGGGCTTGTGCGGACCTCTGCTCCAATCCGGCCACTCGGGTTCTGCAAAGCCCACTCAAGGTTCATGTTCCGGCAGACGGGCCCAGCTCTTTGATCTCCAGATACCCTGTTTTCCACTGACCATTGCGTCGTAAACTCCCGAGAAGCAGCAGCTCCTCAGGCCAGCCCAGGAGATGCGAGGCCCGTCCGTTCGTCCCAGAGCTCACACGGGCTGAACCCCAGAAGCTCCCGCCTCGGCCCTCAGGGTCCCGACCCAGCCCCTCGCAAGGAGCACTTCCCAGCCCGGCCTGAGGATCTCAGAGGCCTCGCGGGACGGAGCCGAGCCCGAGCTGCTGGGCGGGCGGCTCGGAGGCCTCGTGGGCAGGACCGCCCCACTCGGGGTTGTGGGGGACGCCAAGAGAAGCGATGCGGCCCCAAACAGGCTGCCTGGATCTTCAGGACTCGGCCCCCCGCCATGTCCACGACTCCGGGGCTGGGAGTGACGCCGGCTTTGTTCACCAAAGGGAGCCGGTCGGCTTTGGATGGGATGGACTTCAGTTCCCATCCTGCCCAGCCAGCTTCGGAGCCTCGTGCTCTGTGCACCCCCCAGCACCCCCCCACGCGCCACCATCGTGCAGCCCGTGTGAGTGTGAAAGGAGCCCCCCCCCCATGCCTCCTTCTGACCTGCCCCTTTCTCCTCCCCTCCTGACAGGGACCCAGAGGATTGCTCGGCCCCAAAGGGCCCCCCGGGATCCCCGGGCCGCCGGTAAGTGCTGGGGAGGGGCTCCTGCCCTTGCACGGAGGGGCACCCCAACCCGGCGCTCACAGGGGGCCCCCCCACCTGTCTGCCTCTTCCTGCTCCTCACAGGGCGTGCGCGGCATCGACGGACCACACGGGCCGAAGGGGAATCTGGTGAGTGTCCGCAGGCAGCCTGGGGGGGGCGGGGCAGGATCCGGTCGCCTCACCGCTCGGAGGCAGCTCTGCCCTCCGGCCGCCTCTCCGTCATGCACTGAAGCCAGCTGGGGGCCCCGTGCGCGCCCAGAGGCCCCAGCCCCCTTCCCTGGGGTCTCGCACCGCAGGTCTCTCAGCAGGGTGCAAACGTGAAGAAGGCACTCGGTTCCCAGCGTGCTCCAAGCGGCGTCGTGACGCAGGGGATTGTGGGAGCGGCAGCCCCTTCGCGTCCCGGGATGCACAGACGGCGACCTTCATATGACTGAAGGGGAATGTTTTCAAGGAGGCTGCATGTGCTTGGCGGGCTTGTGGGGTGGGGGGCGCCACCTGTGTGCCCAGGCACGTGCTTGTGGAGTTTCTTGCACAGAGAGTCTTTCCCTGCCCAGGTAGATGTAATGCATGGAATGGTGAGGCTTTTAACGGAGAAGGAATCCCCCTGCCTCTGCCCCTGCCCCTGCCTCTGCCCTTCCTCCTCCTCCTCCTCCTCCTCCTCTTGCTTTCCCCCACTGCAAAGGGGGTTTCCGCTGGTGCCAAAGGCTGTGGAGTTCAAAGGAGTTGTTTGCCTGGCCCTCCTCTGCTTGAGCTCGGCCTCTGGGGCAGGTTGCTTGGCTTCTGCCACATCTCCCATGGTGGCCATTTTGTGCTGGTGCCCAGGACTGCTTTGCCAATTGCCAGAGAGGCCCCGTTTGCCTGTGGCTGTAGCTCCCCATTGAAGTCCAGCCCACCCCCTGCTCTTCGACACCCTTCGGTTTGCAGCCAGTGACCCCCCCACCCGCTCTGTTTTCCGCCAGGGTCCGCAAGGAGAGCCCGGCCCCCCCGGCCAGCAGGGGACTCCAGGGACACAGGTAAGGGCCCGAGATGCCAGAAATTCATCCAGCAAGGAAGGATTGGCTGGCGAACGGGGGGAGAGAGCTGGGCTTCTCGGCCCCTGGAGGGGTTTGGGGCCTGGAGGTTCACATACTGGGAGCTTAGCCAGGGCTGTCTCACAGGGTGTTCTTCTCTGCTTTTAGGGTCTGCCAGGGCCGCAGGGGGCAATGGGTCCCCCAGGAGAAAAGGTGAGCTGTTCGTGCCCCCCTGGTCCATGGCCTAATGGCACGCTCCAAGATGCCCTGGTGGGTGGCCTCTGGGTTGGGCTGTCACAGCTCTCCTGGGTTTACGCTGTCCTTTGTGTGTATCTCATTTTCAGGGTCCCACTGGGAAGCCAGGACTCCCTGGAATGCCCGGATCTGATGGCCCTCCAGTAAGTACCTGTATGCACCCGCCAGGCCTCCGTTGGCTCGGCCCTCCTGGGGCCCTGCAGCCAACTTTCGAGGGGAATAGTTAGCAGCCATTTCCTTGGCTTTTCCTGAGGAGCTGCAACATCACCAGCAAGCAGCCAATAGGCCTCATTAAACAGGAAGGGAATGGCTGCCTTGTTTCTAGGGGCCATACTGAACAGGAGGTGAGTTGCGGTGACAGCCACACGGAACAGGAACTGAGCTGCTGCCTTGTATTCAGTGGCCACCTGAAACAGGAAGTAAGCTTCTATCATAGGCTTGGTTGCCACACTGAACAGGAGCTGAACTGCTTCCATGGGCTTGGTCACCACTAAACTAAAGAAGTGAGATGCTACCAGATCGTTGGGCCTTCTTGGCATGTTCATGACATTCCCAGCTGAACTCCAGAACCAATGTGTGTGGACCAAGCCACACTGGCCACTTCTTGGCCCCAAAATGCTTTTTAAAAATGTGCCTTTTCAGATCTGGTGATAGAAGAGAGGAGGTGCCCCAACTTTGGCCAGGGCAAGAGTGGCCAGGGCAAGATTTGTCTTTTGCACCCTGCTTGGCCCTCTGTTTTTCCCTGGCAAGGCAAGCTGTTTGCTTCTTTGAAGGTTGTCCATAAGTTGAAAGGCTTCTCCCCAGAAATGTTAGGATTCAGAAAGGAGATGGAAATTGTGGCCAACAGTTAATTCAACCTGTTTCCTGCCCTGTTTCTCCCCACTCCCCTTTCCCTCAGGGCCACCCGGGCAAGGAGGGACACCCCGGCACCAAAGGAAACCAGGTAAGGGAAAGCCTTTGATGCTGGCACTGGGGGCGGTCCTCTGCAGAGCGAGCCCCTCCTCTGCTCACACTCCTGTGAGGCCGCTTCTCTGGATGGTCGTCCGGACAACCGCGGCCCTGCTGGAGTTTGCAAAAATAAGAGATTGCCGCCCACGTGCCTGGAGATTGCGACCCCCTGAGAAAGGAGCAAAGGGACACTCCGCCTCCATGCAGAAACCGAGTGACGGCAGCGGATTCCCGTGCCTGCGCCAGGCGCTTCACTGCAGAGGGAGGGTGGCCACGGCTGATGGCCCGGAGCCGGGCGGTCCTGAGGCGCTGGTGTGAGGATGGCGGGGACGAGGGCTCTGCGCTGAGACGTGCGGGGGGAGAGGGCGAGAGACGGGTGCGGAGGCCGCTCTCCCGCCGAGGAAGAAGCCAAGGGGCTGTATGGCCGTAACGGGGAAGGCTTCCACCGGCGAGCCCCCGGCGTGGCCCCGTGTGCCCCCTTCTGAGGAAGCGGGCTGCAGGCCATGGGCTGGGGCCGGAACAAGCCTGTTGGTCTCAAGGGTGTTGGGGAAGGGGGCCGCCCTGGGACGGCTGGGAGACCCCTGACGGTGCTGCTGCTGAGCCGGCCTGGGTGCAGCAGGGTGGGCTGGCGCCCCCACTCACACCGCCGGGACTCCAGGGGACCCACCTTGGGCACGGCCCACACCGGGCTGGGCTGCTGGTCCACTCCGGTGCCACGATCCAGGGCTGCCCCGTTCGGCCTCTGGGTCGCCTCCCGCCCCCCGGCGCCCCAGTCCAGCCACGCCAGCTCCCCACGCGGCCCCAGCCCTTCCCCGACTCAGAATCGGCTGCTGGTGTCCGGGGTTGGTGCCGCTTCGGTTCCCCGGAAAAGTTCGGCACCAGCAGTAGGAGCTTTGGGGCCAAAGGGAAGAACGAGGGGGCCTGGCTGCTTCTGCTGCCGTGAACGAATGGGGCCGATGCCGCCCTACAGAAACCCCACGGCATTTAGGGGGGTAGCCCCCCATAAGCCTTCCTGGCTGCCTTAGCAAGCCTGCTTAGGCTGGAAAAGGGGGTGTCATTATTTAGAGGAATGAATTGCGTTGGCTGTTGGGCCGTATGCAGTGCAAATAAATTGGCGGGAGGACAGGATATAAATGCTCGCGATAAATACATTAATTAATGCTGCCCGCAGGAAAGAGAAAATCGTGCCGTATATATTTTTTTAGTCAGGAGGGCCAGGACCCTCTCCCTGGGGGCTGCCCGCATGACTCTGGGACCCCCACTTGCGTGCAATGCCCTTTGTGGCCAGCAGGTGGCAGGAGCCAGCGACGCAGCAGCCAGCCTGTCCAGCAGCCCTTCCCCTCCAGCAGGGGGCAGCACAGCTCACACCTGCCCGGAGCACCTGCGTGTGTGTCTCTGTGTGTGTCTGTGTGTGAGCGAAACAGGCACGGACCATGTCAGGCTGCACAACTCCGGCGTTGGGCATGCAAGGATATTTCGATGCCCAGGGCCCAGGGACAGGCAGTAAAGTCGGGCGATGTAGAAGAACAACCAGGCAGGGAAACGGAGTGTGGTTCCTCCTGGGTCCGTTCGTTCCCGGTTCCTTTTAGCAGGACAGGCAGAAAGCCATGCGGTCGCAGCACAAAACGTCCTGGTGGGGAATGCCACTCCTGCTGAATTTCTGCCTGCCCTGCATCTCTGCATGCCTTTCCTTGCCATGGAGCGAAGCAAATTGGCGCATCCCCTGAAGGGGGCAGGCGGCACGGCAGCGAGTGGGGGATTTGGAGAGCCCTGGCCCTCAGGAGAGGGGGGGTCCTCCGGCTGGTGGGACGCTGCTCTGCCCAGCCCCCTTGCAGCTCCGATGCCGCCTCCCTCCCCTGACCTGCTGCCGCATTTCCCCTCTTGCAGGGCCCGTCCGGTCCGCAAGGTCCAATCGGCTACCCAGGGCCTCGAGGTGGAAAGGTAGGTGTGGGTGTGACGAACCCCATCGCCCCGAATCCCTGCCTGAGTGGTGCAGCCCCACTGTGCTCCCCGTCTCCCCTGGGCCCCCGGGGAGGGAGGACCCGAGACCCTGGGGAGTCTGGGTCGAGGCAGCAGCAAACGCTCTGCTTGCGGGGGGCGGTGCTGGGGAGCAGCTCTGCAGCCTCCCCCCACATCTTCCAAGGCAAGAGGAGGGAGAGCTCATGGGGAAGAGCGGCGAAGGGCCGAAGGGCACCTGGCACAAGACAGGCACCTCCCCACCTGGCCCCATCCACATCGCCCCCTCTCCAAGGCTGCTCAGGGTGCAGAATTCTGCTGCTGTGCTTTGAGCCCCAGGAAACAGAGAAACAGAGCGAGGCAGAAGGGGTCTCCCGGGCCATCTAGTCTGACCCCGGCTCCAGCCGGCTCTGCTCACCTGTTGAATTTTGGCTCGTTGGGCAGCAACTGTAAAAATACAGCCATTTGGCAAGCAAAGAAAGATGGTGGCCTTTGGCCCAGGAGGCCTTGGGAAGAGTGGGGCTACACGGGGGTTGTGGCTTCCCTCATTCATTGGCTAAGGATTCCATCCTCTCTGGGGAACATGGGTGTTGCAGTCAACACTTTTTCACTGCCCCTCAGTTAGGGAACGTGTTTTTCCAGAGTGGGGACATTCCCACCCCCTCCTCTTCAGGATAACACCCCCACCTGCCCTCCGTTCCCAGCCTAACATCTCTGTCGCCTTGCAGGGAATTGATGGAATCCGTGGCTTGAAAGGCCACAAGGGCGAGAAGGTGAGCTTCGTGTTCCCGGGAACGCGGCTCTGGAGAGGAAACCGGGCCAGGCAAAACCACGCGCTCTATTCTGGGGTTTGGGGAGGACACGAGCCGCACTCGTCCGGGGAACGCCCCATTCTCTGGGCTAAATGTGGGGTGGGTGGAGTACCTCCTAACTGGGGCCTGGGACGGCCGCAGCCTCGGCTCGGAGGACACCATGCGGAGCAGCGCTTGGAAGCATCTGGCGGAGACGGAAAGGCCGGGAATAGCCCCGAGCATCCAGCTGCGGGGCAGCTTCCAAGGAGAGCACGGGGCGGGGGCTTGCGTGAGAGTCAGTGGCCCTGCGTGCCCCGGGCCGGGCTCGGGTGGGCACGCACGGATCGTGCCGCTCGAAGTCTTCGCCGGGGCCGGGGAGGCCGCCCGTGCGGCGGGGTGGGTCTCTCGGGGGGGCCAGCGCGGCCGTCCCGCTGCATCAGACCAAACGGCCCCCGGCCCATCGAAGGGATGCCTCTCCGGGGAGCCCCCGGCAGCACCGGCCGTGCGGGCAGGCTGCTCCCCGGCCACCAGGGCTAGGAGCCCCCGAGGGCCCTCCCCCGAGTCCCTCCTGAGAGGCGCTTAAGTGGGGAACATCGCTTGGTCTTGCAGCAGTGGGTCCCGCGGTGCGGAAGAAGCGCTTCCGTCTCTTCCACCCCTCGGTTCCGTCAAGTTTTAGTGTTACGGGAGAGGGAAAGAAACAGCCCCTCGTCTCGTTCCTCTTGCCCCCCTCTGACCAGGGGTGCTTCTCAGGGCTACGAGGCTGGAGGGGAGTCCCGGCGCCCCTGACACCCCTGTCCGTGTTTCCTGCAGGGGGAAGAAGGCTTTCCCGGCTTCAAGGGTGACGTGGGTGTGAAAGGAGACCGGGTAAGCGCCCTCCTTCTCCCCCTGCTTGTCTCCACGCTGGTCCTGGCGTCGTGTGACCTTGTCTGCTTTCTCTCTGCGCTCAGGGTGAAGATGGCGTCCCAGGCTCCCGAGGGGAGGATGGCCCCGAAGGCCCCAAAGGCCGGACTGGGCCCTCTGGAGACCTGGGCCCCCCAGGGCTCGTAGGAGAGAAGGTGAGGGCTTGGCGGCGGATCTCCTGGACTTCCCAGCCCTGGATTGCGGCCGGCTCCCTGTGTGCATGAGGCTTCCTGCTCATATGCCTCTTTCTTTCGCAGGGGAAACTGGGTGTACCAGGACTGCCCGGCTACCCAGGCCGACAGGGCCCCAAGGTCAGTAACTGTCCAGAGAGTGGCCTTTCTCTCTGGCTCTTGCAGTTATTTACTAACTGCTGAAACCTATCCAGAAAAGCTCACCTGCAATGTTACTTAGAGGCTTCCTCCTTGTCATTTCTGCCTTATTTTATGGCACCGTAATGTGCTTAAAATATATTAGTGCTTTATGTATGTTATGTTTGTGATGTGTTTTACAGTGATGCATGGAAACCTAGGATTTCTGTTTCCCAAATGAGAGACCACTCAGGAACATAAAGTGCAATCTTTTGCTGTTTCCCCAAGCGAACAGGAAGCTCTTAATTAAAGGCAACATGCCTATATTTATTTACCTAATGCATTTCTGCATTGTTGAACCTCTCGGGATGGTTCGCCACAACTAAGCCGTACACTGAAGCATGCTAGGACTTAGTGGGACCGGGGAGACGCAAGTTCCAGTCCCCGCTTGGCCATGGAGCTCCCCGGGTGGCCTGACCCAGCTGCTCACCCTCACAGGGCTGCTGTTGTGTGGGTAAAATGGAGCTCTTTCAATGGCCTGGGTTCCTCACGAGTAGAGAAAAGGTAGTATATTGATGCAATTTTTTCGAAAACGAATAAAACCATCAGACGCCTAAAAGAGCACAGCACGGGGGCCGGTTCGGTGATACTTTGCCAGCTCACGGACCGGGATGTAGCTGCACCGGATTGCCGAAGGAGCTCCTCGGATCAGGCGGGGCAGCTGGAAGCCGCATCCGGGTTCCCCGTAAAAGGGAGTTGCGGAAGCGCAGTGATCCTGGCGCAGGAGCATCTTGGCTCGGATGTGAGGGGCACGTTTTCCCATTCCCGCTGGAGGTCTCAGGAGGTGCATTGGTCTTCTGAGCGATGCTGCAGAATTAATGCCCACGCCGTGCTTCTGGGCTGAAGGCACCTGCGCCGATTCTTGTCGATTTTGTAGGGAAAAATTACCCCCCCTGCAAAGCAGCCCCGGCTCTCCGGAGCCCGAGCCTTGGTTCACCTCAGGGAGGCCTGGTCTGTGTGTGCGGGATCCCTCCCTCCCTCCTCTAACGAGCGGTCTCTTTCCCCGCAGGGTTCACAAGGCTTCCCGGGGTTCCCCGGGACCAATGGCGAGAAGGGCAGCCGGGTAAGTGTCCCCCTTCCCCCTTCCCCACCCCGTTTGGGGGCTTCTCCCGAGTCCAGGAGGGGTAAGATGACTGTGCTGGAGAGTCGGCGTTGGGGTCCTGAGTGGCCCCGCGCAGGCTGGCGGAGAATGGAGCGGGGGGTGGCTTGATGGTGTGGGGAGATGGTGCCAAAGGGAAACGGGGGAAGCGAGGAACCTGCACACTCTCGCATTGGCTCGAGGACACCAGCCCTGGGACTAGGGCTCCGCCGCGCGCGAAGTGCTGGGTGCGTGCGTGGGGGGCCGCGAGCAGCCGAAATGGCGCGATCCCCACGGGCCGGGCCAACGTGGCGTGGCCGCACAGACGTCAGAGCAGGGAAGCCCGGGCTGAAAAGCTCCGCTGCCTGGAAGGGGCTTCTGCTGCCGGAAACGACTGGCTGCGGGGGAGCAGGCGGGGCAAACCTCCTTCGGAAGATTGGGTGCTGCTCCTGCTGGGGTCACTACTGAAAAGGCCCTGCTGGAGGGACGCCAGATCCATGGGTCTGGGGAGGAGGCTCACAGCTGGGGACTGCCTGGTCCACACAGTTGTGTTGGGGGAGTGTGACCCCCAGCTAGGCCAGGCTGCACACCCGGCCACTGACCCGAGCTTCGGGACTGGTTGGTCCGCCTTCTCCTGACCCCCACCATGCCCGTCCCCAGACACCTGCTGGGAAAGCGGGGAGCCAGGTGCGCTGTGTGCACCGCAGTGCGCCAGAGCCGGTCCAGGAGGCCCCCTCCGGGGAGCTTTCCGCGGGGGTGAAAGCGCCCTGAGAAGGAGCAGAACCGCGCAGGGCACCGGAGTCGGTGGGGCTCCGGGGGGCTCCGTGGGTCTCCCGGCACCCTCTCCAGGAAGCAACCGGCCTTGGGGGAGCCGAGCCTCCGTCTGCGCCGCTTCCTCACCCCTCCAGGCCGACAGCCCTGTGAGCCACCGAGCGGCCACCGCCCTCCGTCTTGCTCTCAGGGGGGCTCATCCCGAAGCAGTTCCTCTCCCCCAAGCCCCGGCCTGATGCCCCACGGGATGCCCCTGATGCCCCAGCCCTCCAGCTGTTTGCGCTGGTACCCCTCCCGGGCCTTGCGAGTCGGGGGTCCAGGAACAACCCGCCCTGCCCAGGAGGGGAAGGTTGGCCCCAGCCGGTCCACGCGAGCATCGTCTGGTGGGTGCTTGGAGTCTGGCTCTTAAGGCTGGGAACCCGCAGATCCAGCCGGATCCCCACTGGGTTCGCAAGCCGGGAAGGGACCAGGGCGAGCGCAGAGGCTGCCGGCTGGCCTGGCCTCTTGCTGCAGGGTCACGCTCCCACTGCTTCCGTAACTGAGACTGTCCTAGCCCAGACTGGGGGCACTCTGCCCCCCACCCCGACAGCGCTGCGTGTGCTCCGGAGCACCTGCAGCTGCTCCCGAGCAGGCAAGAAAACAGGCGGAGGTGGTCCGGGGAAGTAGGCGGGTGTCGGGCCCTGGGCAGTCAGCATTGTGGTTGCGGGATCAGGCCCTCGGCTGGAGAAGCCTAAAATTTTGGCCTTCAGCGTGTCCCCTGCTGCCCGTTCAGACCGGAAAAGCCCTCCGGCTCCCGGGGCAGAGGGATCTTGAGGGGCACTTGGACAGAGGGAAGCCCCGCAGCTCCCAGCATTCCCCAGGCCGCGTGCCTGCCGGGAATGCTGGGAAGCGAAGGACCGTTTCTGCCCAGGTGTCCCCAGGTCTGGGCCCGGGGTATGGGGCGGCCGCCTCCGTGCCCGTCGCTCAGCCCCCTTCTCTCCTCTCGTCCTCCTTCCAGGGCCTCTCCGGGAAGCTCGGGCCTCGAGGCGAGCGGGGACCCTTGGTGAGTACCCAGAGGGGGCACGGGGGTGGAGGGGGCGGAGGGGGCAGCTCCGCCGTGCTTCTGCCAGAGGAGGGCTCAGCCCCAGAAGAGCTGCCCCGCAGCCCCCAGAGGGATCGTTTGGGGGAGCGGCTTGCAGAAGGCGCCCATCTGCCTCTCCGGCCCCGGCTGCTCGGCCGGGGCTCTGCTCTGCAGAGGTGCCAGGCAAAATCGCTTGCGGGCGCTCGGGGCAGCTTCCTCCGGCAAGCGACCTGGGACGCCTTTGCACCCCCCGTTCACGAAGGCACGTGCTCCGGGGCAGGGGCTGGAGTCCCAGGGGGGCCGGCAGGGGGGCCTCGGCCCAATCCCCCGCCCAGCCCAGCCCAGGCAAAGGCGGGCAAAACCCACGGGGCTGTACAGCGTGGCCGTGGGGCAGTACAGAGATGGCCACAGCAGCTAGTGGCCACTTTAGCCCCCTGGCCCACGGGGGGCTTGGCCCGCGTGCCAGGCGCCCGAGAGCCAGCTGCCCACGGATGTGGCCGCCGCTCAGCAGTGGCCGGGCCGGGCCGTCTCCGTGCCCGTCGGGCGCAATCCCAGGAGTGCAAGAGCGGCCGGCCGCAGTGGGGGTCTCCCCGGGGCCTCTCCTGGCGCGAGGGAGGGATCCGTGAGCTTCCCTGGTGGCTGGGAAGGCCACGCGGGAGAGATGGATGGCTTTCGGCAGGAGCAGGGGCCCCTTGGCAGGGGCTCGTGCCGCCCTGGCCCCCCCTTCCGATGCCTCTTTCCGCACCCACCTGCCCCGGCCTTCCATGTCGGACGCCTCCGCTGCAGGAAGGGCCAACACGAGCGGCGCGCACCCTGCAGCAGTATGATGCTGAGCTTTCCCAGCCTGCTTTCCTCCAAGAGGACCGGAAGCTTGCTTGTTTGCTCTCGCTTTAGCTGGGGGATGAGATGCTCCCGCTGTGAAGGCTGGCCCTGGTCTTCCATCCTCTCTGGCACCTGACGCTGCCCCAGAAGATATCTGCCCTTGGAGGGCGCCCGGGAAGAAGGGGGCACTCTTCGCTCTGAATCGTCCGCGTCCAGTCGCCACCTCCCTGTTCAGGCCGCCCGGGCACCATCAGGGATCCCTGGACTTGCCCCGGTGGCAGCAGGGCCCCCGGAAGTGCTTGCTCACCCCCTTCCTCTCCCCCACCCATTTTTCGGCAGGGCCCCAGAGGACAGCGTGGGCCCCGAGGAGCCACCGGAAAGCCCGGAGCAAAGGTGGGCTGCTGCTGCGGGGAGGGACCAGGGAGGGTGTGGGGTGGTCCCCCTGGGGACTGGTGCTGGGGGGCAGAGGGCTGCTGCAGAGGCTCTGGACGGGGGTCTCGGCACCCCGTTTCCTGTGCGAGCAGAGGGAGGGCAGGACACTGAGCGGAAGAGCCATCTGGGCTGAAAGGTTTCTGGTGACTACCGAGCCCCCGGCCGTAGCCCAGCAGCGGAGCCCGGATCTGCCAGCCGGAGGCCTCAGGTTCAAGCCCAGGCAGAGGGACCCCGGAGTCCCGGAGTGGGGGACCCCTGCTGCCCGCGGGGGCAGGCGGCGAGCCTCTCCACCTCTCCAGGGGTGAGGCCAGGGGCCTCTCCGAACTCTCCACCTCCCATCATCCCTTGGTCTCGTTGCCTGGGGATGATGGGCTATATAGTGCAAAGGATCTGTTCTTGCTTCATCCACTTGGATGATGGTGCACCGTAAGCAGGCGGTGGCTGGAACACACGCCGGCATTTCTGCGACCTTCCCAGAATGCGAGCGCAGAGGAGGAGGTGGGGTTGGGGGGCCACCGGGAAGTCCAGGTGCCCGGCGAGAGTTCCCAGGCTGCTGCTGGGGACCGACCGCCTCGGGTCTGGGGGGAGACCCCGGGAGGAGGGGCCGTCTGAGGAGGTGTGTGTGAATCCGTTACCTGGGCCTCCCGTGTCTAGCAGGATGAGCAGCTCAGTCCGGTGGCAGCCAGCATCCCCTCTGTCTGACCCCCGCGCAGCGAGACCCTCCCTGAGGGTGGGGCCAAGCCTTTTGGGACAGGAAGGGAGGGGGGGCACCTCTGTTTGGAATCCAGTCTTCACATGGGCGGGAGCTACTCTCACAACACAGAGCTTTGATGGGGCTGCCCTCCAAGGCCTCCACTTGGCTCCGCCGGACCTGCTCCCCCCCTCCCCCCGGCCCCCTTCCTGCCTGCCTCCATGGGGCCCAGAGAGCTGCTTCCACTCGGGGCGTGTTGGCAGCCGGGGAGGCGATTCCTGGCATGGCAGCTCTTTCGGCCCACCCCTCCCATTGGTCCCAGCCAGCCTAACCAGTGGTGCAGGAGAATGGGAGATGGAACCTTTGGAGGGCCAGATGCGGTTGACGGTTTTCTGAGGCTGCTTTCTCCTATGGGACTGAGGAATGCCTTGGAACCCCTTCCGTGCCGGACACAATCCGCGGGAATGACTGCACAATGTTTGCCCCTGTGTGTCTTTCACCCAGTGAGGGGACAAGCTGGAGAATGTGCGTGTGCGTGTGTGTGTGTGAGAGAGAGAGAGAGCGAGAGAGAGCGAGAGCGAGCGAGCGCAGGCACGCTTGCGTTCATCCCTCTACTGAATCTGGCTCAATGCCTGGAGCGGCCCCTGCGAGATTGTGCCCGGGCACAAAGTGAATGAGACACGCATGCGCTCTCTGTGCGCACTGCTGTCCCTGAGGGTTCGCTTGTGTCTTCCCACACCTCTCGGGGGCGTGTGGGTCTGTGCACACCCTCTTAACCGCCTTCCCCTTTCTGTCTGTCTGTCTGCCCCCCACACAGGGCATCTCTGGCAGCGAAGGACCGGCCGGGCCCCTCGGGGAGCGGGTGAGTGATCGGGGGATGCGACCCCCCATGTTGCAGCGACAAGTGCGGGCGCGTTGATCACCGTTGCAGCCTCTGGAGCTCAGGGGTACTGGGGATAAGACGGTTCCGACATGTTTGCAGCCTTGATGAGTTGAGATGAGTGAAGGATATAGAAACATAGAAACAGAGCGAGGCAGAAGGGGCCTCCGGGCCATCTAGTCTGACCCCGGCTCCAGCCGGCTCCGCTCATTACATGCCCACCATGGGTGGAGAGAGACAAAGTTAGACGCTCAGAATCTGGGAAAAGCTTGGGAGATAGTTTGGTCCGGAGGGGCGTCCTCCAAAGCGAGTGGGCCAAATTTTGGGGGTGCCTGGAGCTTGCAAGGGCGAGACCTCGGCCAAGCAATGGCGGGGGGGCAGCACTTTCAGCCCCGGGGTGTACCTCAGACTTCGGGGGCGGACAAGGCGCCAGGAATTCCGCACGGGCCTCCGCGCTGGAATCATGGTCGAGCGCACAGGTGCTTGCGCGTGCGCCAGCGCATCCTCGTGTCCTCGCACACGCTCCCCCAGTCCTGGCAGGGCGTTCCCCCTGAGGGCCAGCTGCCGGGCCCCCCGGCCTTTCCTTGGGGCACCCAGAGGTAGCAGGGAGGGCTTTCTTGCCAGCCCCAGCGCCGGCAAGGGAACCGCAGCCTTCCCTTTGCTAGGCTCGCAAGACGAGCGGTGCGTGGGGTCCCCGCAGCCCCCCGGCTGCTGCTGGAAGCCCCAGGGTCGCAGGTTGCGCAGCCACACAGCAGGGAGCTGCACCCAAGCTCCAGAGCAGCCTGGGTGTGGGGAGCCCGCTCAGGCCCAGGCCCCTCTGCCGTCCCTGGGCACGCGGCTTCGGGCATGGCTGGCCCGGGCCGGCTTGCCTCCCCTGTGATGCGGGGGGTGGGCCCTGCCTTCCTCACAGCCCGCCTCCCCTCTTCTTCCTCAGGGGCTGCCTGGGCCACAAGGGCCGAATGGATTCCCCGGACCGAAAGGACCCCCTGTGAGTAGCCAAGCCCCCCGTGGCCCTCCAGCCGCTGCCGCCTTGGCCCCCTTCCGGCCACTGACCCGTTCCCTTTGCCTTTCTGCAGGGCCCCCCCGGGAAGGACGGGCTGCCCGGCCACCCTGGACAGCGGGGAGAAGTCGTAAGTGCCCCCCGCGGATGCTTCGCCCTTCCCCGGAATGGGACTGCCGCTAGCATCCGAACACTTGTGGTTCCTCCTAGGTTGCTCCAAAGCCGCTACTCTCTCCTGCTTATTTCTGCTCAGTTGCTCTGCCTTTTCCTTCTTATTCCCGTCTTTCCAGGTAAATCGCTACTTCTCGGAGCCCTGTTTTCAATCCTCTGATAATACAGAGCTTTCCTACTCGAGCCATTTATTGTTTTGCGAGCCGTTCCTTACTTAGGGTTGATTGGAAGCCGGTGTGCCCTCCCTCCCTCCCTCCCGCACTGGTTCTGCTTCCTTTATTTAAGGCTGAAGGTTTCTCAGGGTGAGGAAAAGGGGTGCTGCTTGAGAAAGCGAAAGAGCCCGTGGGTGTTTCCTCCCGTGGCTGTGTTCTTCTGCTGCGGCACAGCGCCACCTAGAGGTCGTGTGCTGGAAAGCCCAGAGGAAGAGCCTCTTGGGCCAGACCGGCACCCCAGAGGCCGCTCTCATCTCATACTCCTTCCCTGCTAGTTACTCCTCGTTGTCATTTAGAAACAGAGGAACAGAGCGAGGCAGAAGGGGTCTCCCGGGCCATCTAGTCTGACCCCGGCTCCAGCCAGCTCTGCTCATAGAAACACAGAAGCAGAGCGAGTCAGAAGGGGCCTCTGGGCCATCTAGTCTGACCCTGGCTCCAGCCAGCTCTGCTCAGAGAAACAGAGGAACAGAGCGAGTCAGAAGGGGCCTCCCGGGCCATCTAGTCTGTCCCTGGCTCAAGCCAGCTCTGCTCATAGAAACATAGAAACAGGGCGAGGCAGAAGGGGTCTCCTGGGCCATCTAGTCTGACCCCAGCTCCAGCAGGCTCTGCTCATAGAAACATGGAAACGGAGCAAGGCAGAAGGGGCCTCTGGGCCATCTAGTCTGTCCCTGGCTCCGGCCAGCTCTGCTCACAGAAACATAGAAACAGAGCGAGTCAGAAGGGGTCTCTAGGACCATCTAGTCTGACCCCGGCTCCAGCCATCTCCGCTCATGCCATGCCCCCCATTTAACTTGGGATTCTCCTGTGCGGTGTTACTCCCTCATTACTCTCAGGTTACACGCTTGTCGGTTACATTGTGCGTTGCTGGATCCACCCCAGCTTCCTCCAATCCCCGCTGCTTGCCAGCCACCGATCAGCCAGGAGGGACTGCCCCCCCCAGGCTGTGTCCCCCCACCTCGGGGGCTTGTGGAGGAGGCAGGGAGAGGGTTCCCGGCGGATGTGGTGGGGCAGGTGCAAACGGCCCGCAGGGAGGTCTCGGGGGCTGCCGCCCATCCCCGGGGGCTGGAGATGCCGGGGGGGTGGGGGAATCTGCTTACCTGGCATGACCTCCCCCCCGTCCGCAGATGCTGGGGCAGGAGCATCGCCTGGTCTGCTTTGCCCAGTGGGGGGAGCCGTGGGGCCAGGGAAGCTGCCCCAGATTGTGTGTTGCATCCGGACTGGAAAATGAGCCGGCCCGGCTGAGCTTACAGGCAGAAGGCCAGCTATTTCCGCAGCTCCCTGGCCTGGAGAGCCGTGTGTGTGTGTGGGGGGGTGCCCCTGTTTCGCATGCAAAACTTGGAGTGGGGGCTTGGGAGGGCTCATTCTCTGCCTGAAACCCCAGACAGCGGCTGCGGGGTGGCCGAGATCCGTCTGGCCCACCGGGCTCTCTGGAGGGAGCTGATGGGAGTTGAACTGCTGCCGGGCACCTCAGGGAGCCCAGGTTGGGCAAGGCAGGGGTAGACCGGGCTCAGACCAGGGGCGACGCTCCACCCTGCCGCACGGCAGCCTCCCTGGTTCCTCGGGCACTCTGCGCATGCTCAGGGGTGTCACGCATGTCCAGTCCGAGCATCGGTGACTGCCAGCGCTGAGTGCAACTCAGGCAGGGCCGGGCCGGCTGGTCTGTCGGGGCCGTGGGAGGGCTTGGGGCAGAAGGAGACGGCCGGAGAGTCCTGACCCCCCTCTCCCCCTCCTCGTCTTCCTCGCAGGGCTTCCAAGGCAAGACCGGCCCCCCCGGAGGTCCGGGGGTCGTGGGACCACAGGTAAGACAAAGAAAGCCCCGCCGTCCCTTTTCCTCGGACGCAGGTGTGGCCGCGGGTGTCTTGAATCGAGGCCTGGCCTGGATGCTGGATTTCAGGAGGGCTAGGACACCGGAGCTTAATCCAGATTAGACGGGGATACCCTGGTGGGGGTTCGTCTGTCCAGAGGGGCGACATCTTGCCTGTCCTGGATGGGGCCACGTGCCCCCGAAGGACAGGGTCCGCAGCTTGGGGGTGCTCCTGGATGCCAAATTGTCCCTGGATTTCCCAGAGTGCCTTTGGTCACCTTCAACTGCTGTTCCAGCTGCGACCACATCTGGACAGGCAGGGCCTGGAGGAGGTTCTCCCTCGTCTCCTATTGTGACGCACTCTGGATGCGCTTCCCTTGAAGACGGTCCGGAAATGTCACTCTGGCCAGAATAGGGGGCCAGGTTGTCAGTGAGGACTGGCAGATAGGATCCTATAAAGCCAGTCCCAGACCACCCGCACTGGCTCCCAGTTGAGGTCCAGGCCCAATTCGAGGTACTGGTGCCGGGATTTGAAGCCCTAAACGACTCGGGGCCTGGGTACCTAAAGGCGCCTCTTCCCAAACAGAAACGTAGAAACAGGGCGAGGCAGAAGGGGTCTCCGGGGCCATCTAGTCTGTCCCCGGCTCCAGCCCGCTCTGCTCAGAGAAACATAGAAACAGGGCGAGGCAGAAGGGGTCTCCCGGGCCATCTAGTCTGTCCCCGGCTCCAGCCCGCTCTGCTCAGAGAAACATAGAAACAGGGCGAGGCAGAAGGGGCCTCTGGGCCATCTAGTCTGACCCCGGCTCCAGCCGGCTCTGCTCAGAGAAACATAGAAACAGGGCGAGGCAGAAGGGGCCTCTGGGCCATCTAGTCTGACCCCGGCTCCAGCCGGCTCTGCTCAGAGAAACAGAGCGAGGCAGAAGGGTCCTCCCGGGCCATCTAGTCTGACCCCGGCTCCAGCCAGCTCTGCTCATAGAAACAGCGAGGCAGAAGGGGTCTCCCGGGCCATCTAGTCTGACCCCGGCTCCAGCCGGCTCTGCTCATAGAAACAGAGCGAGGCAGAAGGGGCCTCCAGGCCATCCAGTCTGACCCCGGCTCCAGCCCACTCTGCTCATAGAAACATGGAAACAGGGCGAGTCAGAAGGGGCCTCCGGGGCCATCTAGTCTGTCCCCGGCTCCAGCCCGCTCTGCTCATAGAAACATAGAAACAGGGCGAGGCAGAAGGGGCCTCCGGGGCCATCTAGTCTGTCCCCGGCTCCAGCCCGCTCTGCTCATAGAAACATAGAAACAGGGCGAGGCAGAAGGGGCCTCCGGGGCCATCTAGTCTGTCCCCGGCTCCAGCCCGCTCTGCTCATAGAAACATGGAAACAGGGCGAGGCAGAAGGGGTCTCCCGGGCCATCTAGTCTGTCCCCGGCTCCAGCCCGCTCTGCTCATAGAAACATAGAAACAGGGCGAGGCAGAAGGGGTCTCCGGGGCCATCTAGTCTGACCCCGGCTCCAGCCCACTCTGCTCATAGAAACAGGGCGAGTCAGAAGGGGCCTCCAGGCCATCCAGTCTGACCCTGGCTCCAGCCGGCTCTGCTCATAGAAACAGAGCGAGGCAGAAGGGGC